GATAATTGGTACATTACTGACTTTAAAACTTTGAATATTCAATGAGTATCAAATTTTTTTTCCTCTTTGATGGATTGTAACTCAACCTTGATGGATTGTAACTCAACCTTGTTCATGCTGTATAGAAGTTTTCGTTTCTAATAATTGCATTTTCCTTTCTGATTTCTGGTTTTGTATACTGTGCTTAGAACTGCCTTTGCTCTTCCAAGGTTGTTTAAAAATTTTTAATCTGTTATTTCCTTGTAGTATTCGAATATATTCTCTGTGTTTGCATTTGTATTTAAATTTTTAATTTAGAATTCATAATGTGTGAGGTAGTCACCGAACTTTATTTTTAAACTGGCTAGCCTATTATTCTAGTGTTGTTCATCTTTTCTCACTAATGTGAAATATCCTCCATGTCAGGTCTTAAATTCTCAAATGTGCTTGGGTTTATTTCTGTATTCCCTATTATGTTTTATTTGGTGTCATCCTGTGCTAATAGGAATAATAAATTTAAATAGTATTAAGGTTTGATTACTGTAGTTTTTTAATGAATTTTAGTATGAAGTAAGACAAATCTTCCAATTAGGCATTTTTGTTTATTCCTTTATAAAGTTTCTCAGTTTCTAATACTTTCCAACATAGTTCTAGGGATCACTTTTTTTTTTAAACATTTATTTTTTTAGTTTTAGGTGGACACAATATCTTTTTTTATTTATTTATTTTTTACAATATCTTTATTTTGTTTTTATGTGGTGCTGAGAATCGAACCCAGTGCCTCACGCATGTTAGGTAAGCACGCTACCATTTGAGCCACATCCCTAGCCCCTAGGGATCACTTTTTAAAATAACCTCCAATTGCTCAGAAATTAAAGAGTTTTAGAAATTGTCATTTAAATTTTTGTTATGGAAATAAAATTGGCTTCAATTTTTAGAAAATAATGTAGTTCAATATTAGTCATACGAAAAATAACTATATTTAATTGTTAAAATAGTAACAGATTATTTTTAGTTTGATCCTATGCTGATAATTTTGTTATTCTTAATTACTCAATATAACAATGACAATAAAAGTATTCTTATGGAATACTTAAGGATATGTTTCAGAAACATTTCAAATGTTTCACATTTGGGGATAAAGATATTCTGAGTCATTAATCTAAGTATCAGGAGTTTCAATTAAAAATAATAATAAAAGAATAATTCAGCAGTTTATTCTACTCTAAATTCATTGAGGTTAGCATATTTGTCTCATTAATTTATGTATCATGGCATCTTACTTTGCTTATTTGTTTATTTAGGAGTCATTATCTAAGATGCAGGCTTTCCCTATGCAAAATGCCTGATTACTCACCATCTTCATTTCCTCCAACCCCTTTAGGGCATCTTGACTTTTTTTTTTTTTTTAATATTTGGGTAGGGGAGTCTGTGTCCCAGCAATATCTCACAAAGCTAAGTCTGGGTTATATGAAGAAAACTAATTGCAGATAACACTAGAATTATTAAGTAAGCAAGTATTATATTTAAATACCAGGGATTTAGACTTTATTCTGTATTCGAAAGGGAATCAGTGAAAGAGGCATGCTTTAGGGCGATTGGATGGTAGTGTAGAGGGACAACAATAAAATGAGGAGGTCATTTAGACAGAAATGACTAAGACATAATGAGGTATTTAAGGAGTGGTAGAGAAAATGAACAGATTTTACAGACATTGTAAATTTTAAAAAATAAAAGGAGGAGTTGGATGTGAAGAGGATGTAAAGGGTTAAGAGAATGCAAGGAGTATGAGATGACCCCAACCAGAGTCTGTTGGGAAGTTTATGCTATTTACAGAAACAGAATAAGACAAGAAGCCGGTTTTACAAGGAAGCTTATGAATTTGCTTACTTATTTTGACGTGTTCAACTTGATGCATTCCTGAGACATACAAGTGTAAAACTAGCAGAGAAGTGGATTTTAGAATTAGGTCTGTAGTCAAAGAGCTCAAGGAAAGATTGACCACAGCCAAAGAAATATGAGTGGAAATACTGATGGAAAAGGAAAGCAAAGAGGGTAGAACTATTGGACCGTCTTTAGGAACTGTCTTCTTGGGTTCTGCCCAAAACTCTGTTTAGTAGCAGATGTAAGTAAATATAATGCATTTGGAAATGGAGAATAGAAGTTAATGAAGGAGCCTAACAGGAATTGTCAGATGGGGGCTGAGGTTGTAGTTCAGTGGTAGAGCACTTGCCTCACATGTGTGAGATACTGGGTTCGATTCTCAGAACTACATATAAATAAAGGTCCATCAACAACTTAAAAAAAATTGTGGGAAGATTATGGCATCATGGTGGCCAAGCTAGAGAAATTTCAAGGGAGTCATGAGTAGTACAGCTACAGTGGATTTAGGGGTGAGCTCATTGGTTTTACATGGCACCATTCTGGAAATGTCACAGCAGCACTGTTGATGAAATACAATATCCTTACACTTGAGACTTTGGTTAGTGTGCCAAATATTTGTAGTTGGAAAGAAGACTTTGATAAACTATTTAATTAGAGAGTCAGAATCAGTGCATCATGACTTCTTTATTCCTGCTAAGGACCATCCAGAATAATGTTAGGAATTGGTGGAACCAGTCTTTCCTGTGGCCTACTTTCTTTCTGACTTAGGGGAAAAAAAACATGTGTGCACCTTTTCTTAATTAAAATATTTGGATTTAGAGGATTCAAGGTTGGTGACTTTAAAAAATATAGTCTTCTAAATTCTATAACTAATACATTTTCTTTACATAAGATTTGGAAAATGTGGACAATGATGATATAAAAGTAGCCACACAGAGAAACTGTTAACATTTTGATGAACTTCTTTTGAACCTGCCATCCATCCCACCCCTGCCTGTGTGGTCTGACAGTGTTTCTCCACTTTCACAAACTCTTTGGAGACATTTTTAAAGGCTATGTAATCCATCATGTGGATGTACTTTATGTAATGCACACATTTTATAACTGCTTCTCTTTGCTTTTATATATTTTGCTAAATATGTGGACAGTTTCTTTGAGGGAAATTTTCCTTTATTTTAGTTGTAAGTTAAAACTCATTCTAATTCTGGTGAGAGTGCTACTAGCAATATACCTATATTTCATTAATTTATCAGTTCACTGATTCATTTTTTAAAATATATTTTTTAGTTGTTGATGGACATTTATTTATTTATTTATTTATTTATTTATATGTGGTGCTAAGAAATGAACCCAGTGCCTCACACATGCTAGGCAAGTGCTTTTACCACTGAACCACACAAAACTCCAACCCATCAGTGATTCATTTAATAAATGTAAGATGATCAAATAGTGAGGGTGAGCAGGAAGGTATTCGAGGTAGAAGGAACAGTACTTGCAGAGATAGCAAACAGCATATCAAAAGTTCAAGAAGCTTAATTTAAAAAATGGCTTCAGCATACAATACATGTTAGGGATTGGCAAGAGAGGAAGCTAAGTGAAGTATGGATAGAGTTACTTCATGAAGAGCCTTAAATATTCTCATTAAATACCAGGAATTTGCTAAGTGCTGGGGTTGTAAACATGAACTAGACAAAGTCCTTGAGAAATGTATTTATAGCTCTAATTCTTGTTTATACATCAGCAGTTTGCAGATTAAGATTTTCAGCTCAGACATCTCCTTTTAACCCCAAATCAATGTAACCAACTGCCTTGTTAAGAATGAAGACAGGTGTTACTGATATATTCTCTGGCTAATAAGCACAGCCTAACTAAACCTGTATAAATATGTATATCACCTGATTTTCATTTCTATAAATTATAACTGCTTCTGTGGGACCAGTGGAGAAACAGTCCAGCTGCTGCTTCCTAAACTGCATCCTTTCCCATTTTCCCATTGTTCCCTTGTTTCTTATGTGGATTGGTGGTGGAATACCACCAGCTGGGATCCAGTCAGGCCCCAGGATGAGCTGAAGATATCCCTGCTTCTGTCATCTTTCAATATTCTCCATGCTGCTGTTAGAGTAAAACAAACACAAAACAATTCCAATATTTGTGTTTGAAACCACTTTCTTAGGATAAAGAACAAAATTCTTAACCTGGTCTGTAACGCCTGGTGTGTTCCTTCCTGCTCCTGCATCTTGTGCCACTTTTTTGGAGTTTGTGTATTGTAAGCACATTTGTTTTTAAATTCTACCAGTAAGTCATATTTTCTCCTGTCTTAGACATAATTTATGATTAGTAGCTTTTAATGCATATTATAAAACACAATGCCTATTGTTAGAAAAATGGATGTATCAATATTTTTGAGTAGATATTTATAACCCCTAAAAGAGTAATGTTCTGTGCAACATTCATCTCTTGAAAAGTACACTGTGAATTATTGCAAATAAACACAAGCATTTTCAGTTATAATTTGTTCCTCATTCAGATTGTATCTCACAACTCAATTTTCCCCCTAGACAACATTATGAAACACATACTTATGAACTATGTTTATTCTTATTTTAAAGTAAGAAAACATTTTCTTTTGTAAATTTAAGCCATACTATTTTATTTTTTAAAAAGCTTCAGTATTTGGTATTAAAATAGGAAGAAATTAAATGTCATAATTTATAATACAAAACAATTAAACTTTATATGAAAGTAGCAACTTAATGGAAGTCAACATTTTATAAGATTTCAAATCACCTTCTCTAATAACAAATAAAATAAATCTTGGGTGTTCTTATAAGCATAAAAGCTGAGCTATGTTACTAAGGTACTTTTTATTATATTCAATATGAGTGTTTGGTTTTGTGTGATAATTTTATTGTTACATATTTGGTATTGAATGTTTCATATAGTTAAATATTTATGGAATATCATATTTTATAAGATTTTTGTCTGTAAATGAGAATTTGATTTTCTATTTTTGTCTGTAAAATGAGAAATTGGTTTGTTCCTTTTACTTCATATTATATTTAATCACTTAAGTAACTTTAGCAGAATGGCACCATATAATATGTATACTTATTTTTCTTTAACTTTTTTCCTTTAAGTCAGAAGATTAAACTGTACAGAAGAATGCAACCAAGTAATGGCTTTTTCTTAGAATTTGAATATGGAGGCCACGGGAACAGATGAAGTTGACAAGCTAAAAACTAAATTTATATCAGCATGGAACAACATGAAATATAGTAAGTATTATGACTTACGAATTATATAAATCCAAGGGAGTATTTGAAGATATATATCTTTTTCCCTTAATTTTTGTAAGGAATGTAGATAAGAATCTCCTGAAGAAAGAGCTAAATGTCATTATGAACATTGCTTAGAAGCTCAAACATACTGTGTGGTCCTTTTTTCCCTCCCTATTTTGATAGAGTTTATTGATATCCTCATGGATGTGTACTTTTTAACATCCCATTGCAGAAATAATTTATTCAGGTGATAATACGTCACTTCTTCAGATTCAGTTTCAGGCAGCCTCATCTCTGAACCAGGAAGTTAACCAAAGTTTACTTCTGAACACACAAAACAAGTAGTATCATGTTCGTACACTGATACTGCTGAATTTTTTCCTTCAAATGTACTCTCTAGTTACTATTTTCAAACTGGTTACTCTTGGCAAACAAATTCAATAGGGGTAATATTTTTTTGGTATCAGGGATTAAATCCTGGGGTACTTTTTACCAATGAGCCATTTCTCCAGTTCTTTTAAAAAATATTTTATTTAGAGACAGGGTCTCGCTGAGTTGCTTAGGGCCTCGATAAGTTGCCAAGATTGGCTTTGAACTCATGATCCTTCTGCCTCAGTCTCCTGAGCTACTAATGTGGTTATTATTGAAATCCACCTCAGGTTAGATACAAATTAGAGATGAAGAAGCTCTCAAAGATAGAGAAGTACTCAGGCAGAACTAGTTTCTACAGGTAGAAAAAAACAGGAATGATAACAAAATTCTTTAAATTTATCTTTGAAACAGGAATGATGGGGCTGAGGTTGTAGCTCAGTGGTAGAGCGCTTGCCTTGTATGCATGAGACATTGGGTTTGATCTTCAGCACCACATTAAGGTAAAAATAAAGATATTGTGTCCATGTACAACTAAAAAAAATTTTAAAAACCAGGAATGATAACAGAATTCAATAAAAGGCCTTTATAATATAAATACAGATAAAACATAATTGGCATTTGGCTTCTGGTCTACTGGAAGTGATCAGCTAGCTATATATGTATAGATATAATTTGGCAACAACATGATATTGCATTTTGAAAATTTTGAACATTAATTTTTAAAAAATAAAAGTATTTTACATACTAAAAATATACCCTTTTATAGTGTACAATTTTAATTTTTATTTATTTTTTTGTGGTGTTGGAGATTAAACTCAGGGCCTTGCATGTGCTAAATGCATTCTACCACTGAGCTGTTCCCTCAGCCCTAGTTCATATTTTTAATATACCAATTTAAAAAGTGTACTTTCTGACTCCATGAATTTGACTGTTCTGAATATGTCATGTAAATGGAATCATATAGCTTGTTACCTATTGTATCTGGCTATTGTCACTTTGAATAATATTTTCAAAGTTCATCTGTATTATAATATGTATGTATTAGTACTTCATTTTTTATATGAAACTCATTAATGTTTTATTGTATGGCTAAAGATTTTACTTAACTTTTTTCAGTTGATGTATATTGGGTTGTTTCTGTTTTTGGCTACTATGAATAGTTTTGCTGTGAACAGGTTTTTGTGTGAATGTATCTTTTTCATTCTAGCAGTGGAATTGATGGGTCATATATTAACTCTAAAGTTTAACTTTTGAAGGAACTGCCAAACTATTTTCCTTAGCGACTGTACCATTTTAAATTCCCTTCAGCAAGGTTTGAGAAGTTGACTTTATCCATATCCTTGCCATCACTTGTTATTGTCCTTCTTATTGCAGTGGATGTAAAGTGGAATCTCACTATGGGGTTATTTGCCTTTCTCTGATGATTTATAATGATGAACATCTTTTTATGACCACCTGGCTAGTTGTATGTCTTCTTTGGATAAATACTTTGTCCATTTTATAATTGGGTTATTTGTAATTTTATAATTGAGTGATAAAAATCCCTTAGCAAATATATGATATACAAATATTTTCTCCCATTCTTGGATTGACTTTTTACTTTCTTGATAGTGTCCACTGAAGCCCAAAACTTTAATTTTGTTGAAGTCCAGTTTTTCTTGTCTTTGGTTGCTTGTGCTTTTGATGCCATAATAAATCAATTGTTGCTAAATCAAGATCGTGAAAATTTATATTCATGTTTCCTTCTGAGAATTTTATTGTTTTAACTCTTACATTTAGGTTTTTAAATCCATTTTTAGTTAATTTCTGCATGTGGTGAGAGGTAGAGTTCCAATTTTGTTCTTTTGTATGGTTATCTAGATTTCTCATTATCAACTATTATTTCTCAGTTGAATGATCTTGACATCTTTGTCTACAATCAACTGACCATAGATGTATGGGTTTATTTATGGACTGTCAGTTCTATATCATTTATCTCTACATCTGTCTTTATACCAGTACCTGACTGTCATGATTGAAAGAAAAGTGGTGCAGGACTGATCACACACACACCTGGTATAAGAAGTAGGTTTATTGTCAGGAGCCTGACAAGGCTGCTCTGCACAAAGAGAGGGACAGCAGCAGCAAGGAAGGAGAGCAACAGCAACTTCCCCCTTGAATCTTATCTTTTATAGGCTAGAATCATGGCCGCATACTAGGGGTAGGTTTAGTCTTGACTGACATGGTAAGCAACCCCTTATCTTGTGGAAGGCAGATTTGTTTCTTGGGAACAGAGACAGGCAGTTTTCCTATCTCTCAGAGGGGGAACAGGGAAGCCAGCATGTCCCTTTATCTTCTTAAGGAGAGAACATGGAAACCAATGCGTCCCCATCTCAGGGGCCAGTAAGTTGTCTTCTATCTCTTAATGAGAGAACAGGGAGAGACCAGCACATCTCTAGGCTGGTAGGTTTTATCTCGGGCTAGTTTCTATTTCATGGGAATAAGAACAATATTCATAAAATGGAGGTGGGGAAAAGGAAAATGGCTGCAGTTATGCTCACAATGATTATTATAGCTTTGTAGTAAAGTGTGAAATTGGAAAGTAAGTCTTCTCACTTTTTTTCCCTTTTCAGGATTTTTTTGGTTAGTCTGGCTTATTTGCCTGTCCATATGAATTTTATGATCATTTTGTCAATTTCTACAAGATGCCAGCTGGGATTTTGATAGGGATTTCATCGAATATGTAGATCAATTTGGGGAGTTTTGCTCTGTTAGCAATATTAAGCCATCCTGTCCATGGACATGAATGTCTTTCCAATTGTTTAAGTCTTTTAAAATTCAGTGATGTTTTGTAGTTTTCAGTGTTCAAGTCTTGCACTCTTTTTGTTAGAGCTATCTTTTCTTTTTGAGGCTGTTGTAAAATGAATTGTTTTCTTAATTTCATTTTGATTGTTCGCTGTGGTATTTAGAAATACAACTGTTTTTTGTAATTTGATCTTGTATTCTATAACCTTGAAGAACTTCTTTATAAGTACTACTAGTTTTTTGTTTGTTTGTTTGTTTGTGTGTGTGTGTGTGTGGATTCTTTAAGTTTTTTTATAGAGAAAATCATTTTATCTGCAAGTAGAGACTTGTCATTTAATCTTTTTTTTTTGTAGTGCTGGGGCCTTATGCATGTGAGGCAAGCACTCTACCAACTGAGCTACATCCCCAGCCCTTGTCCTTTAATCTTTAATGAGTAGGTTATATGATGAAGATTTCATTTGTAAGGTTTGAAAATTATAATAAAGAAACTCATTAACACATTTCAGCAGTATCTTAGGAGTTGTTATTTAACCAGTCACACACGTATGCATATAAAAGTTTTAATAATGTGTGGCTTTCTTTGTTTAGATATTTAAGTGCATATTGTGGAATTATGGTTATCACATCTCTGAAGAACAGATTGTTTTGGGTAACTAAGTGTTCTAGGTAGCTTTTTGTTATGGAATACTATTTTAATTTTAATTGATGGAGCTCATTTTAAAATGTTTTGTGTATTTTACATCCTTAGAGTTTGTATAGCTTGGGGAAGTGTAGGAAAGACTTCTGTTGATTGAATATTCATTGTATGCTGGACTTTGTAATAGACAGTTTTTGTCCTTTATCATTTAAATCTCATCTCTCTGATACTCTGTGTTAGATTTTTCTTGCTGTGACAAAATGCCTGAGAATCATTTTCAAGAGAGGAAAGATTTATTTTGGCTCACAGTTTCAGAGATAGTCCCAGGGTTGGCTGGTTCCATTGCTTTCTGGCTTCTGGCTAGGTAGAAACATCATGGTGTGGGAGTATGTGGCAGGGGCGGCTATTCACCTTATAGCATCCAGGAAGCAAAAAGAGAGAAGAGATTGGGGTCCAAGTATTCCACTCAAGGGCATATCTCCAATGACCCAACTTCCTATCAGTTCCACCACCTTCCAGTAGGGTATCAGCTTGGGACCAAGCCTTTGGAGATGATGATCCAAATCATTACACTCTTTTTTTTAAAATATAAGTTTAGAAAGCTGAGAGTAAGTGACATGTTCAAGGTCACCTATCTGGGTAAATCTGGAAAACAGATTTCAAACCCAACCTCTCTTGTTTTTCAATCTTGTTATTTTCTGAATATAGTTTACATAATTTAAGATTATTCAAAGTCAGGCTGATATTATCATGGTGATGAAATTGGAACTGAATAATAAGATATAAAATGCACTGGATTATATTTTCTTCAAAAAGCCATTTTTTGCCCCCCACCCCCCCTTTTGCATGTTTTTATGATTATAAATTTAGGTTCCTCTTTAAAAAATTAGTATTGATACTGAGGTCAGTATTGATAATTATTATTCTGGGTGTTTCTTATTCTCCAGAATATTATTATCACGCTTAGTATTTCTGTATGTTTTATCCTGTGTACGGCTTTTAAAGCCTTAAATCACCAATTTGAATATTACAAATAAGGCTTTTTTGTAAGATTCTCTTTGTGGTAATTGATCTCCAAAGATGACCCTCAGTGAAGCACATCTTGTGTTATCACTTTTTCTGATTGAATTTGGTCTGGCTCATGTTGGACATTAGTTAGCAGGAATGAAATGGAAGTGATGGCTGTGTCAGTTCCAGGCCTAGCCATTAAAAGGTAACTTCCACTTACTCTGTTTTGGAGTTCTGAACTGTCAAGTAACCAGTTCAGTTCTCTGCTGGAGAAATCACACGGAGAGACTTCATGAAGAGGAGAGTCTTTGTGTAGCTGTATAGCTTTGTATAATGTTTTAGTCAGCTTTTTTGCTGTTGTGACTAAAAGATCTGACCAGGACAATTTTAGAGAAGAAAAGATTATTTGAGGGCTCATGGTTTCAGAGGTCTTAGTTCATAGAAGGCAGGCTCCATTCCTCCTGGTTGGAGGTGAGGCAGAACATCATGGTGGAAGAATGTGGCAGAGGAAACCAGCTTACATCATATGGGTTAGTCATTGACATGGTAGACTGATTCATCTCTGACATGCCTGTGGAAAAAGAGAGAAAAATAGGGTCTTATGGGAAGTCCTGATTCCTCTTATGTATCTAACTACATGGAATATTAAAGGACATCAGTCTGTGATGAGGGGTTAGACCCTGCCAGGGTCTACACAGGAATTAGAAGAGTAAGAGAGTATATGTACCCCGTCATTAATTGTTGAATTGTAAAGCCCTGTAATCCTGTTCTCTTGTGGACTTTTGCAGTGCTTCAGGTTCTGGCCGGATTCCTAACTTTTCCTTTTTTGAGGAAGGACTGGTGGGTGGTTGGGAAATAGGTAGAAAATATAAACCACAGGGAGAAGTTTCTCCTTAAGTAGTTTCCTTTTATTTGAGCTTGTTTTTATTAAGTTCTTAGGGTGTTCTTTGAAAATACTGCCTTTTTGGGAAAGACAGCTACTACTATTTTGCATTAGGATCATTTATAAGATACTAAGAATAGTATTAGAAGATGATATATGTAAAACTCATAGTCTGGTCCCCGGAATATAATAGATAAATGCCAATTTTTCACTTCTTTAAAGAAGGGGGAAAGGAAAAATTGTGTTGGAAGAGCATGTTTGAGCCAGAAGAAGGAGTAGGATTTAGATGGACTGTTATTGTAGCAAAGCCCACTTTGAGTAGAGGCAAGGAAAGAAGGAAATATGATTATAAAGATAATTTGTCTCAGGAAAGTCTTTAATACGAATGAGAAGTTCATAATAAATCTGTTAAGTAATGAGTAGCTGAATATGTTTTTTGAACAGAAGAGTTACCTAATCAAAACTGAGCCACAGGGAGTTTAATTTGGCTATGATATGTTACAGTTGTTAGAATAGGGAAACACTTATCACACAAAAAATATTTTGGTGAGTCTTGTAATAATCCAAGTGAAGCTTAGTGTATTTGACATCCCATTCTCTCTTACTTTCAAATTAAGAGACTGACATTTTTATTTTAAATAAATTTTTCGAGGCTGGGTTTGTAGCTCAGTGGTAGAGTGCTTGCCTCTTACATGTAAGGCCCTAGGTTCAATCCTCAGTACCACATAAAAATAAATAAATAAAAATAAAGATATTCTGTCCATCTACAACTAAAAAATATTTAAAAAATAAAAATAAATATTTTAATTTATTTATGTAGCACTTTGGGGTGCACTCATAAAAATCACTACTTTATAACAAGTCTGTTAAATATAAAGGCTGATTGTCTTCCTAAGAGTAGACCCAATTTGACTTTCAATTACAGCTTCTTTGTATTGAAACAGTCTAGTATTTTAGAAGATTCATTTAAGCCTACCATTAGCAATCAGGAATTTCAAATGGTGTGACTCTACTTTGTGTATAACCAGGAACATGAAAAATTGTGCTGTATATGTGTAATATGAATTGAAATACATTCTACTGTCATATACAAATTAAATAAATAAATAAAATAAAAAAAAGAATATTCAGCAATGTAGCAGGCAAGTTCTTTCCTCAAGAGATTTGGAATTATTAATGGAATTATAAAAAGCCAAAAAGGATACTAACTTTTACCAAGGTTTTTTTTTTTTTTGCACTGGAGATTGAACCGAGGGCCTTGCACATGCTTAGGCAAGCTTTCTGCCACTGAAGTACATCCCCAGACCAGGATACTACCTTTTTGATGCTGACAGTTTAGTAATAAAACAAATTGGAAGAATTAGAATTTGCAACTTGTTGAGGTTTGGAAGGTTGAAGATTTAGATGTCTGAAAGCTTTATATACCATATGCAGACATTCTCATCTCATCAAAATGAAGCCGTTTTAACAGATTTCCTCAGGAACCTTCAGGGATCCACTTTTATCATAGTAGCATTAGGCTACTGTGTGTTTTTTTCCTTAATTATTTCCTGGGAATATGCAAATACTTTCAAGTCTTTTAATTTCTAAGATAAAAGAAAATGCAAGAAATTGATACATATTGTTGCCTTGGGGACTAGAAGTTAGTGTTGGGGAAGTCAGAGCAGAATTTGTATCTTTGGAATTTTGTACCATAATAACATCAAGATCTGACAAAGTAAATTAAGATTTTTTTCTCATATTCTTTAAGGGGATGGAATGTGGTTAAAAATATTTTTATTCGAAAGTAACGTATGACTTGTATATTAAGGTCATTGTCTAAATATTTTGCAGCTCTTGAAATAAATGCACATTCATAAGTGGTAATTGATGTTTTGAAATTAAAAGAAAATATTACTAGACTCTTAGTTTGACTTCTTTTTTTCCTTCTTCTATTTAGGTTGGGTTTTGAAAACAAAGACATATTTTAGTAGAAATTCTCCAGTTTTATTGCTTGGAAAATGTTACCATTTTAAATATGAAGGTAAGTGCTAAATTTGTAAGACATTTAAAAATCTTTGAAGAATTTATTGTTAAACTTTTTTACTGTTTTATTTTCATATTACTCTATTTCTGGCGTAGCTCTGTTAAGTACCTTTATTTTATATAATACATAACATATTACCATATGGTTTGGTTCCTGTTAACTCCTTCAAGATAAGGATCATGTTCTCTTTTGTTATGTCCCTCATAGTTTTAGACTTTCAATATGAGTACTAAATAAATGTTATTTGAATTGATATATTAACATTCTTTATCAGATTGTCTAATAACTTTAAAGTATATGATAATAATAATGAAAGTTTTCATCTTAGTTAACTTAAGAATGATAATTTTTCAAACATTTATAGATGCTTCAGTATCTCAAGTTGACTTTATTTGATGTTTCTGAATTTTCACATATACTCATCCTTTCAGTAATCACCTATAAAAAATTTATTCCACTTCTGAGTTCTGGGTACAATGCTAGGCTCTTTGGAAAATATCTTTAATTCTTACAAGAAGCCTAAAAGATAGACTTAAGTGTCCCTACCTTATGAATGTGAAGCCAGAAGCTGAGAGAAGCTAAATAATTTATCCAAAGTTTACATGATAGCAGAGCTGAAATTTAAACCAAGACTGTCTGTCTCTAACACTGGTGTTCTTTTTACTGTGCATCTGTGCTTGACTTTGTATATTTGAATGTGTTTCGGTCTGTCTGTCTCTAAGAGAGAAAACAAAGAATGTATTTGAATATATGTTATTGCAAGGTATATTCACTTTCGGTTGACCTATTTTGGTGTATCATTTATCATCAATTTTCTAAAACCTTATACATGGCTTTTAATAATAGCAGTTAACATTTTTCAAGTAGTAATAATAGCCAGGCAGCATTCTAGGTAATTTATATGTATTAACTCATTCAGTTGTCACAACAACCTTTATGGGTCAGGAGGAAGTTGATAAAGAAGGTGAGTATTTTAGGAAAATAGAATGGGATGATGAAAGCAATTATATATTAGAGGCAACGTTTAGGAAATGGATGTCCACCTTAGTTGTGGTGAGGATGAAGAGTTAGGAGATATCCATATATATGTATTATTTTATTATATAATATATTTTAATATAATATTATATATATATATATATATATATATTTTAAAATTTTTATTATTGGTTGTTCAAAACATTACATAGTTCTTGACATATTTTAATGGGCAGAGGATAGCCATAGCAGTATGATTGGAGTATTAAGAGTATGGGCTTTGAAATCAAACTTTTCTTGGTTCTGAATCTTGGCTCTTTGTTTTTAGTTGTTACTTTAGACAAGTTATTTGATCTTCCTAAGTATTAATGATACCTATTTCATAGGTGTTTAGTTGTGTGTCTGGTACAGGTAAGCATTCTAAATGATATCATGATATAAGGAATTTATAAAAAATATGATTAGAATTTTTTAGGGCTTTTAAAATGTTTATTTGTTCTTTTTAGATATATATTTCAGTACAGTATATTTTGGAATATTGTACATATATGAGGTATAACTTATTCTAATAAGGATCCTATTCTTGTGGTTGTACATGATGCGGAGTTACCCTGGTCATGTATTCAAATACAAGGATAGATGGGCTGGGGTTGTGGCTCAGTGGTAGCTTGCCTAATATGTATGAGGCACTGGGTTTGATCCTCAACACCACATATAAAACACAAATAAATAGTTATTGTGTCCCTCTACAATTAAAAATATTTTTAAAAAGCCAAATGTGGGCTGGGGATATAGCTCAGTTGGTAGAGTGCTTGCCTTGCATGCACAAGGCCCTGGGTTCTAATCCCTAGCACCACACACACACAAAAAAAGTTTTGGGTTTGGAATATGGCTCAAGTGGTAGCGCGTTTGCCTGGGTTCGATCCTCAGCACCACATAAAAATAAAATAAAGATATTAAAAAGAAGGCCAAAGGCAAGGATAAGAAAGTGTTATGCCTGATTAATTCTACTGTCTTTCCTATTCCTCTCACCCACCTTCTCTTTATTCCCCTTTGTCCAATCCAATGGATTTCTATTCTTTTTCTCCCCACCCTCCCTTGTTGTGGGTGAGACATATGAGACATATGAGACAGAACATTCTGTCTTTGGTTTTTTGGGACTGCCTTATTTCACTTAGGATGATAGTCTCCAGTTCCACCCATTTTACTGGCAAATGCCATTATTTCATTCTTCTTTATGGCTGAGTAATAGTCCATCGTGTATATACCACATTTTCTTTATCCATTCATCTGTTGAAGGATACCTAGGTTGTTTCCAAAGCTTATCTATTGCAAATTGAGCTGCTATAAACATTGAAATGGCTACATAACTGTATTATGCTGATTTTAATCCCTTTGGGTATGTACTGAGGAGTGAGATAACTGAGTCAATCTAGTTTTTTAAGGAATCTCCATACTGCTTTCCAGAGTGGTTGCACCAATTTGCAGTCCCACCAGCAATGCATAAGTTAACTTTTTCCTATATCCTTGCCAACCTTTATTGTTGCTTGTATTCTTGATAATTGCCATTCTGACTGGGGTGAGATGGAATCTCAGTGTAATTTTGATTTGCATTTCTCTAATTGCTAGAGATGTTGAACATTTTTTCATATATTTTGTGACCATTCATATTTCTTCTTCTGTAAAGTGCCTGTTCAGTTTCTTTGCCCATTTATTATTTATTTTAATTTTTTTGATGCTGTTTTTTGAGTTCTTTATATATCCCGGAGATTAATGCTCTATCTGAGATGCTGATGGTAAAGATTTTCTCCCATTCCGTAGCTCTCTTTTCATGTTCTTGATTGTTTCCTTTGATGTGAAGAAGCTTTTTAGTTTGATACCATCCCATTTATTGATTCTTGATTTTACTTCTGGTACTTTAGGAGTTCTACTGAAGAAGTCAGTTCCTAAGCTGACATGGTGGAGATTTCGGCCTACTTTTTCTTCTAATAGGTGTGCCCAGGGTCTCTGGTCTGATGCCTAGGTCCTCAGTCCACTCTGAGTTGAAGTTTTGTGCAGGGTGAGAGATAGGGGTTCAATTTCATTTTATTACATATGGATTTTCAGTTTTCCCAGCACCGTTTGTTGAAGAGGGTGTCTTTTATTTAGTGTGTGTTTATGGCACCTTTGTCTAGAATGAGATATCTGTATTTTTAAAAAAATATTTAACAATTCAAGATTTTAAAAAAAAATTTAGTTGTAGGTGGACACAATACCCTTATTTTATCTATTTTTATGTGGTGCAGAGGATCAAACCCAGTGCCTTAACACGTTAGGGTAGTGCTCTACCACTGAGCTACAATTGCAGCCCTGAGATATCTGTATTTATGTTGGTATGACTCTGTGTCTTCTGTTCTGTTTCACTGGTCTTCATGTATGTTTTTGTGCCAATCCTTGCCATTTTTGTTACTATAGCTTTGTATTATAATTTCAGGTCTGGTGTTGTGATGCTTCCTGTCACTTTTCTCATTAAGGATTGCTTTGGCTATTATGGGGGTCTTATTTTTCCAAATGAATTTCATGACTCCTATTTCTATGAAGAATGTCATTGGAATTTTAATAGGGATTTCATTAAATCTATATAGTGCTTTTGGTAGTAGGGAGATTTTGACAATATTAATTCTGCCTATCCAAGAACATGGGAGAACTTTCCATCTTCTAAGGCCTTCTTCAATTTCTTTCTTTAATGTTCTGTAGTTTTCATTGTAGAGATGTTTCACTTCTTTTGTTAGATTGATTCCCAAATATTTTTTTTGAGGCTACTGTGAGTGGGACATTAAAACCATATTTTGATTTTAATTTGCATCTTTTTTGGTAAAATTGAGCATATTTTCATTTGTTTATCGGCTATTTGGATATATCTTCTATTGTCTTTGTTTTTATTTTTGATTTATAGATTTTTCTTTACATATTCTGGATATAAATCCTTATTTTGGAGATATGTATAGGAAATGCTTTTATCTACTTCATTACTTACTTTTTCACCCACTTAATGGTATCTTAATTTTTAATTTTAATATAGTCTAGTTAATATTTTTTACATCTTAAATAGTGCTCTTTGTGTTCTGTTTAAGAAATCTTTGCTTATTTAAAGATGTGATGTTTTTCTCTCCAGGCCCACTAAAGGGCATCTTGGGCTACATTGGGGACCAGGTTGTCTCCTGTAACTGTAACAATGATATTCCCTCCTATTTATTTATTTAGTTTTTTGGTGGCAGTGGGGTTTACCACTGAGCCACATCCCTAGCCTTTTTACTTGCAACTTTCCTGCTTCAGCCTCCTGAGTTGCTGGGATTACAGGCATGACCCCTTCCCCACTCTAGCATCTTTGATGTTGATGCTGGCATTGCCCTCCCTTAATTACCACCTTGTCAAGCTCATTTCCTTGTTTGACTGTGAATTTGGTTTTAGCAATAGGGTGGTGAACTTTATGGTCCACATGATCTCCAAGGAATAAGAGCCTATGGACCACATGCCTCAGCAAGAAAAGAGATGGGGAGTGGGGGTGGGAGGGGGGCCCAGCTGTTAGAGAGTTTCTGTCCTAACTCAGTCCCCCAACACAACGAGAATCTCTGCTCCTCCCAGTTCTATCCTGGACCCCCTGAAGAAGAGGAGGAGCTTAGGAAACCCCATTTTCATGTACCCTTGGTAAAGTTCACTGTATGTTTCCTAACCCCTACAGAAAAATGATTTCTCTCCAAGTTATTTCAGAGCCGTCATTTATTTGTTTATTTGTATTCCTCTATGGTTTTTTTTAAGATCAGCTCCTTTTCTTTGGTATGGATTTCATTTTAATCTGCTTGAAATTTATCTCTTAAAAATCTATAAAATATTAGCCTTTTTTTCCCTTAGGTACTGGGGATTAAACCTAGACCTTGTGCATACTAGGCAAACACTCTATCACTGAGTTACATCCCAAGGCATTTTTATTTTATTTTAAGACAGACTTTCTAAATTGTCCCGGCTGTCCTCTAATTTGTGATCTCCTAGTAGCTAGGATTATATAGTAGCATATACCATTATTCCTATTAGCCATTTTTTATAATACCTGTTCCCCATTCTTTCTATTTTCTCCTTCTGCATATCTGATAAATCTTCTGTTAAATATTTCTTCATTCTCTGCAGTTTTTTGTTTTATATTTTCCATTACTTTGTCTCTCTGTGCTATGTTCTTTATTTCTTATTTCTGTCCTAATTATCTCCTGAGTGGTCACAATTTGCAGTTTAATTCTACACCAAGTTTTTGTATTCAGTTTTTTTTTTTTTTCAATTCTAGTAGTTTAATTTGGTTCTCACCTGCTCACTTTTAATAGTCTGATTTCTGTTATTTGTCCAACTTTTGATATCCTTTTGTAAATATATGCATGATTATTTTATATCAAATAATTACAGTAACTGTACTCTTTGAGGGTTTGTTTTGCAATTTGTTTTTCATCAATTTTTTCTCATAGTGAAATAATTATCATATTTCTCATGATTTTTGATTGTGGTATTAATTAATTAAGCCTCTGTATTAATAGCAAATCTTATGTTTTTGTTTCTTGGCTTTCTCATTCTTTTTTTTTCAATAATTTTTAGTTGTAAATGGATCTTTTATTTTATTTATTTATATGCTTTTTATTTGTATATCACATTTCAGAGAGCTTTAATATGAATATCCTGAGCCAAATGAGGTTAAAGATACTTTCCATTATCCTTTCATCAAATAATTGATTAGATATGGAAAAGGATGTTATTGTTAATAATAGTAATATGTCTTATATTAGTTATTTCCAGTGTTTAAAACGTTTCAGGATTCATTCTCATTTGATTTTCATAACAGCCTGATTAGGCAGAGTAAAATTAATCTTCCTTTTAGATGAGAAAAAATATTAGAAAGGTTGTTATGTAGTCCATAACTTAAGACAATAATGCTAATATATTTCCATTATTGATATTTCTTTGCCTAACTTAAGACTATAGTTTGTATTTTTATTTTGTAGATGAAAATAAAGTGTTACCTTCAAAATCAGCATGTACAATAGAAGATCGCATAATTGCAGGAAATGTAGAAGAATTTCGGAAAGATTTCATTTCTAGAATATGGCTGACCTACAGGGAAGAATTTCCTCAAATAGAAGGCTCATCTTTGACAACAGATTGTGGTTGGGGATGTACGTTGAGAACTGGCCAGATGCTACTGGCTCAAGGACTCATACTACATTTTCTTGGTAGAGGTAAATCAAATCTCTGTTGCTTTTAAGTGTGATATTCAAGCTTGCATACTCTGTAAAATTCCCTGAGGTTAGTTTTCGTGACTCCCTGATGTTTTCTAAAGTTGTAACTGACCTAGCATATTACAATTTTATTGAACTAGGCCATACATGTCTTCTATGCACACTTTCAAAATTCTTTTTTCAAATCTTTAGATAAATGTGACTGTTATTCTTGTCACTACTGTGAATTGTTAGTTCCAACTAGTAGGTTTTGGATTTTTTGGTAGTTATTATTTATTTCCCTTTTAGCATAATTCTTAGGTATATCTCCATTTCAGTAAGTCTAGGCAGGTTAATATCTGTAACTTTGGAGAATAATTAGTATCTTTTAAATCTGGAGTTTTCATCTTGGTTTATTTTCTCTTTATCAATAATGCTTTGAATTTTTTATCTTCATAAATATGACTATTATATTAAGTTAATTAGGCATATTATCAATAAGATCATCATGATTAATCTTTAAAGCCTTCTAAAATGTCATTGTGTAACTTGCATCTTTTTTTCCTAATATACCACCTTCTATTAATACATTAAAAAATTTTTTTTAGTTGTTGATGGACCTTTGTTTTATTTATTTATATGTAGTGCTGAGAATCTAACCTAGTACTGCACACATGCTACTACTGAGCCTCTATTAGTACATTTTTTAATGGACAAATGTGTATATTGGAAAGAGGATTTTATTTTATGATTTAAGGCTCTTGTCTCCAGCTATTACTAAATACTATCATTTTTTTTTTTTTTTTTTGGTACTAAGGATTAAACCCAGAGGTCCTTAACCACTGAGCCACATCCTCAGCCACAAAATTTTTCAAAGTGTTAGACAGCCAGACATGGTGGCGCACACCTGAAAGCCCAGCAATTTGGGAGTCTAGGGTAGGAGGATTGCAAGTTCAAAGCGAGCTTCAGCAACTTAGTGAAACCCTAAGCAATTTAGTAAGATCCTGTCTGAAAACAAAAAATAAAAAGGGGTGGGGATATTGCTTAGTAGTTAAGTGCCCCTGGGTTCAGTTCCCAATACCAAAATACAAAAACAAAAAAAGTGTCAGACAATATCCCTGAACTTCATTGCAAATGTTTTCTAACCCTTATGTAGAGATTATTGATGAGATGATTTAGAGAGAATGTTTATTTAAGAGTTCAGTGAATAAAGCAAGGAGAAAAAAATTTTAAGCTAACCTTCTGGGATGATGTATTTGTAGTCAAGTCCTTACTAGATCTCTAAAGCTGTGACTTACTTTATTAACTTAAAATGACATATATATTTAGTGACTAGTTTATTAAAAACAGTAAAGTAATGGATATATTTGATTTTTAAGAACTTTTATTTTCCATGGCTTCATTTATTAAATTAGCTTCATGTATGAGAGAATTGGTATTATTCTCTAAACAATAATTAAGTTATTCTGAAGGAATATATAGAAAAAATATTTTATATAAAGTTTAAAATTTCTGTGGAAAGATTTCTCTTTTAATATGTAATCAGAACAAATGCACTTTCTAAAGATATTCATGAGTACTGTAAATGTTAGTGCATGTGCTTATTGAGTCAAGACTGGATATCTGATAAGCAGTCTGGTAATTAAATACAGCACTGAGCTGGTAAAGAAAAGAAAAATGAGCAAATTGCAGAATTGTACATTTGTTCCTGAGTTTAGTATTTTTCTTTTGTCTTTTTGTAGTTATTTTGATTATGGGTAATATATTCCCAGTTTAGAAAATTTGGAGATTATAGAAAAAGTCCTGAGAATAATATGACCACTCACATTTAAACATCATTGAAGAAGAGATTGTCTCTACCCATACTTTTGTTTGTTTTTCTTTTGAAAGCAGTTTCATTGGGATATAATATTCATACCATAAATTCACTCATTTAAAGTAAACAATTTAGTGGTTCTTAGTATATTTACAGTTCTGCAGCCGCTACTATAATCTATGTTTAGGGCATTTTAATCATCCCCAGAGAAACCTTACACTCATTAGCAGCCATTCCCAGTATCTCTTCATTAGCAGCTGTTTATGTACTTTCTGTCTCTCTATATTTGTGTATTTCTGAGTTTTCTGTTTTAGTTTAATAACCTGTATGACTTTAAATGCTACACATTTCTTTTAATAGAATTGTTAAAGTCTGTCTATTTAAAAGATCTGAATACCTTTCTTTGGAATTACTATAGCTTGGACCTGGCCTGATGCATTGAATATTGAAAATTCAGAGTCTGAATCATGGACTTCCCACACTGTAAAAAAAATTACATCATCATTTGAAACATCGCTTTCAGGGGAAAGAGAACCTGAAACTCCAACAATTTCTCTGAAGAAAACAATTGGGAAATGTCCTAATGATCAGGAGATGCAAAATGAAATTTTTCACAGGAAAATCATCTCTTGGTTTGGTGATTCCCCATTGGCTGTCTTTGGCTTACATCAGTTAATAGAGTATGGAAAGAAGTCTGGGAAAAGTGCTGGAGATTGGTATGGGCCAGGTGTTGTTGCTCACATTTTAAGGTAAAATTATTTAAAAGTCTTTGATCTTGTGACAGAGGTTTTCAGGCTTAGAGATACTGAATTTTACTATGCGTATATATAAATTGAAACTTTTAAAGTCTAGTATAAGAATGTTCATAAAGGAGATTTCATTTGCTAATATGCTAGTTACATTTATCTACATACAAATTTTTCATTTCTTGCTCTTGCTTTTGTTTATTGTTGCTCATAGGTACAGATATTCAAGGTCTCTTTCTAAATAAGTTCTCATTATACCACTTTATTGAAATGTTCAAAAAACTAACATCTCTTTCAATCTTAGGACATGAACAATGTTTTAGATTTTTTTTTTTTGTTTTTTGTTTTTTTGTTTTTTTTGGTAACCTGGGGGCTGTAATGTACTGATGGTGTAATGAAATATCAAGAGCTAAAATTGATGTTTTCAACGTTTCTTTGCACACACATCAGATTCTTGTGAATTGTAAATCTATGGCACTATTAACATTATAATTATAGTAAAAGTAAAGGGTATTCAGGATGGTTAGAAAAAAGTCCAAAGTCAAATTTCATTATACTTTAGCTTTTACATGCCATTTATTTGAATGTTACTTTTTAAAATATTGTATTATTTGTTGTATGTCCCATTGTTATTATAAACTAAATCATCAATATATCATCTAAGTGTAGTATGTTAGAATACATTTTCTCCATTTATAATCATTTTTAAATTTGAAGTTATTACAAGCCATTTTTGCATATTATAATGCTTTTTTATTTTATAGGTCATATGCTTACTGTTGAAAGAGTATTTACCTAATGTTATTTATTGGATTGTTAATGTATAAATTTTAGCTTTGTAAGACATCATGTAAAAGCCTAAACAAAAAAGCATAGTTTCTGGGCTGGGGATGTGGCTCAGGCGGTAACGCGCTCACCTGGCATGCACGGGGCGCTGGGTTCGATCCTCAGCACCACATAAAAATAAAATAAAGATGTTGTGTCCACTGAAAACTGAAAAATAAATATTAAAAACTCTCTCTCTCTCTCTCTCTTCCCCCCACCTTCCCTCTCTCTCTTTAAAAAAAAAAAAAAAAAAACGTAGTTTCTTCCCTTAAAGATATGTTCCAGGGCTCAATAAACTTTATCTGCTAAATGTCAAATAGTAAATATTTTTGGCCTTGCAGATATTATAAGAGTTCTTCTGCCCAGTATTTTTCTTTTTCACTTAATTCCTTAAAACTATGAAAATCATGCTTGCAGTATATAAAGAGGCTACAAGCTGTGTTTGGCCTATGGGCCATCATTTGCCATTTGCCAGTTCATCTTTTATACTAAAGATACAGTTAAATAAAAATATTTGTATTTCCCCAGTTTGCATAATTTTCTTTTTCAGATAAGTGACTTTTTTTTTTAACACCTGCAGCATTGAGAACATTACACTCGAGATTTTTTTTTGTACCTGGGATTGGGCAGACAAGGTCTCACTGAGTTGCTTAGTGCTTTGCAAAGTTACTGAGGCTGGCTTTGAACTCAGGTACTCCTGTCTTAGCTTCTTGAGCTGCTGGGATTACAGGTGTGTGCCACCACGCCCACTTTAGAGAGATTTTTTTTTTTTTTTAATGTGCAGTTTTACCCAATAGAATTCTAAGATTTGAGATTAAGAATTCATTTGTTCGGGTCATACATGTTTTCTTCTTCCTCTTCCCTCCTTTTCTTCCCCTCTTCCCTTTTCCTTTTTTTTTTTTTTTGCCATGTTGGAGATCAAACCCAGGACCTCATGCATGGTATGAGCTACATTCCCAGCCATTTATATAGATTTGGTTGGTTTTTGTTTGTTTTGTTGTGAGATGAGATATCACTGTGTTGCGTAGGCTGGGTTTGAACATGTAAGCTCAAGTCATCTTCTTGTCTCAGCCTCCAAAGTAGCTGGAAATATATAGGCTGAGCTTCATACAGGTTTTAGAAACGAAGGGTGAAAGACTATTTAAGGAATAGAAAAAAAAAAAAAAACTTAAGTATACCAGAGGACAAGCACAATAATTCATTCCAAGTCAGTAATTTTAAGTTAATGTGAAGCAAACCTTGAAGCACATCGTAATAGCAATGGTTAGAAAACATTTACTGTAGCCAAGTAAGTAGCTGAGAGAAATCAGTCTTGGGATGGGTAGGAGGTGAAACTGTACATTCAAGAATTTTTAAAATGTATTTTTTTATGTATGCTTTGGTGTTCTTTGAGTAATTTAGTGTAATATTCAGCTTTGTAAAATTAACCTGATTTCTGTTGATATTCACAAGTCATTGACTTTGAAGTGAATGCTGAGGAAACAGTAAAAAATGAATGGGTTCTACCTTGAGTAAGCATATAAGCTTGAGCCTCTTAATCAAGAGAACCAGTAAGTAAAAATGGGTAGAACAGGGGGAAGTTGTAGTTTCCCATGTCAGAAATCATTATCCAAATGATAGTTCTGACAGTAGACATGTAGGTTTAATAGGTAAGTCAGAAAAATGGTGGCTTTTTCCCTCCTCTTGACTAAATCTTTAGTTACCAACCAGAAATGCTATTGAGGATTTTAAAGGATAATGTTTATTATTTTTTTAGAAAAGCAGTCGAAGAAGCAAGACACCCTGACTTACAAGGAATAACTATTTATGTTGCACAAGATTGTACAGGTAAGGAATGTATAAGATACTAATTTTTAATTTTTATTTGTTTAGACCTTTCATGTATGTTTAGCTCATCTGTCTTCCCAGTTATATTATAAATGATAATGAAGGTTTAGATACCATGTGTTATACATTTTTGTTCCTACAGAACGTGCTACATATAGGAGGTATTCATTAAATATTTTATTGAATATATGCTATAATTTATAATATTAAAATAAATTTTCCAAAACAAATTCCAGTATTTAAAATGACTATTTTAAAAGACTTAAACTTGAACTACATGTGTTTTAAGGAAAGAAAATTTTGCGTTTATTTTAGAGGAACTATATGTTTTTCACAGTGTTTCAGTAAATCATCTAGTAATGATATAACTATTATTTAGATTTTTTTGTTGTTTGGGGTCTTGTGTTGATCAGTGTCTATAGTAATTTTGAAACTTTGTTAGGAATGAAATAGAGTCCTTAACTTTCTAATACAATAAAATAAGCCACATCATGCTATTAAGTTTATTTTTGACAAAAAAGCAATTAAGAGAGTAAAAATATTAATGTTTTGTTAAAGTTAATTATACTACAATGATATTTAATATGTTTAAGATTACTCTAGCTATTGTAGAAAGATTGGTTGCCAAATTATATATGCATTTTTTTTTTTTTTTTGTTGGGGTTGGGGAACTGGGGATTGAACCTAGGGCTTTGCCAATGCAAGGCAAATGGGCTTTTCCACTAGCTACATCCCAGCCATATACATGCATCTTTTTTTTTTTTTTTTGGGTGGTGTTGGGGATTGAATCCCAGGACCTTGTGCATAAGGCAGGCACCCTGCCAACTGAGCTATATCCCAGCCCCTATAGATGTAATTTTTTTGGCCTTTTGTTAAGGATAATTTCCTTTTAAAAGAAAGTCATAATTAATAGCCATTTAAAAATGAAAGTGATAATTTTTCAGATGAGCATATACATTTTGAAGGTACTGTGTTTGTTTTTCATGTAGGAGGTTTTATAAATAAAATTTGCTATGTTAAGACCTGTAAACTGGATGGGCACAGTGGTGCATGCCTATAATCCCAGTATCTTGGGAGATTGAGGCAGGAGGATCTTGAGTTCAAAGCCAGCCTCTGGATTGGTAAGGCGCTAAGCAACTTAGCGAGACCCTGTCTCTAAATGAGATACAAAATAGGCCTGGGGATGTGGTTCAGTGGCTGAGTGTCCCTGAGTTCAATCTCCAGTAAACCCCCCCCCCCAAAAAAAAAAGACCTGTAAGTGTCAAGATGTGCTTAAATGACTAATCATAAATAGATTTATGAATTGCTTTCTGTTCTTTTATTGGTATCAATCAGCCTTGGTCTTTATTCATTATATATAGTTTCTTAATTAAGCAAACAATACAGAGTTTCTCATTATATGAGTGGTTTGTAGTAGTTCTTTAAATTTTTATTATTCATGTTTAATGGATCTTATTTATACCTCATACTTAGTGTGAGGTAATTCATGTTTTCTGTTCCCCTTCAAATATTTCTATCAAGATAGTCTACAAACCCTTCATATTCATCCTGTTTAAAATGAAACTATGATTTTCCTCTGTCTTACCTGCTTTTACTTTCTATTTTCTCTTAACAGAGAGGATCATATACAAAGGTTATTTAAGGTAGAATTCACTCATTCTTGGATGTTTATTCATCATTCTTGTCTAGCCAGTCAGCAAAAGCTTTCCAGTTACTCTTTTAAAAATGTTCCTGGAATCTATTCTTTTTCCCTCTCATTGATTTAGATCATACTTTATCTATAACTTGGACCTTAACTTGATCTCCCTATCTCTCTTCCCTTTTTGATCCTCTGATCAAAAGACATTGATCATGTTCCTTGATTTAGAAAGACCTGCAACTAGTTGCCCACAAACTTTAGTCTCAGATTATCTTAGCATTTAAAGCACACAGGCTATTCTTAGGACACGCTACTATTGTCTCCTTTCCATGCCTCTGTGCATATTAATTGCCTCTATGTGGAATGGCCTCTGTGTTTTCTTTACTATGACCAAGATACCCAATATGAACAATTTAGAAAAGGAAGAAGTTTATTTTGGGCCCATGGTTTTAGAGGTTCAGTCCATAGTTAGTTGACTCCACTGCTCTGGGCCTGAGGTGAGTCAGAACATCATGGCAGAGCAACAGTGGAAGAAAGCTGCTCAGCTCATGGTACAGAGTGAGGGGTGGGTAATGCGTGCTTGCCTGCAGGGAATCAGGGACAAAATATAATCCCCAAGGACACACCTCCAGTGATGTAATTCCTTCTGCCATACCTCACCTGCCTATAGTTACCACCCAGTAATCCATTCAGATTATTAATCTATCAAATGGATTTGTCTACCTAGTAGGTTATAGTTCTCATAATCTAACCATTTCACCTTTGAATATCCCTGAGTTGCTTAATGTATGAGCTTTTGTGGGGAATTCCATATTCCAAACCATTACACCCTTCTTATTAGAATGTCCCTTGTGAACTTTAACTTGTTCTTTAGAAACACACTTAAAGGTTATGCTTTTTCCTAATTCTCATCAGGCAGAATTAGTTTATTTTTCCTCTGTGCTCTGTAACATTTTAGAAATACTTGTGTTAAATGTTGTACTTGTGATTCACTTGTGATATTGCATTATAATTATCTGTTTCTCCTTGTAGATCAGTGATTCCTGAGAGGGTTAGAATAAGGGTATCAGAATCATTTGTGTGCCTCTGTAACAAAATTGAACTGTGTCTTAACTCTTATATTGGAGGTGGAGGAAGAACACATAAACAATTGAGCTAGACACTTTTTTAAGTCAAAACCTTGTCTAGCATAAAACACATCAGTAAATGTCAGGGCCTCAGTAAATGTGTATTCAGTGAAGATAAAAGGTAAGAGGCAATTCGATAAGGCAGAATTATTGTGACATTTTTCTAGCTTTGGTTTAGACAGACTATGGGAAATGAGGCTGGTGATAAGAAGAATTCTATAACTGATTCTAAACTTGGTATTTAAAGGAAAGTATAGGACAAAAGCAGCAGATTTTCTTTTTCTTTTTTTAAAATGTTTTACTTGTCGATGGGTCTTTATTTTATTTGTTTATTTATATGGGGTGCTGAGAATCGAACCCAGGCCTCACACATGCTAGGCAAGTGCTCTACCACTGAGCTACAACATCAGCCTCCAGAATTTCGTTATCAGCTCTTCTGAGAAGAGCGCAGAGTGAGTTTGGTTAAACTGATAGGTAGTGTGGGTGGTGAAGTGACTTTTGTGTTTTGTAAGTAGCAACTATTTGAATAAATGTATTTTGAACAAAAGTTTGTCTATATTTGTTTCCAGAAAATTCTTCTATTTTCTTTTGAACTATTCCACCTAGGCTCTCACTGCCCCCACCAAAACTGCTCTTATCAATAATTTCATCTTGGTAAACCCAGTGGTCACTTCTCAGCCCTAACATTAGTTTGCCACCTGCATTTGGTACAGTTGATGACTTCCTCCTCCTTGTACCATTTTTGTTACTTGCTTTTCAGAACATTGTTCGACAGATTTTCCTTTTACTTTCTGTCTATTCCTTCACAGTCTCCTTAGTTGGTTTTTTCCTCATCTCCTTCATCTTTAGAAGTATTGGTGTTTTAGTGCTTAGACTTTAGATTTCATCTCTGTTTCTGTCTACACTGATTTGAATATACCCAGTATTGTGACTTATCAATATAATCTATATTCTGGCGATTCCCCAGATTTATAGATTCATCCTGGTACCCTCCCTAAATGTTAAACGCTCCTAACTGCCTACTCAACCTGCATGTCTAACAAGCATCTCAAACTAATCATATCTAAAACTCAATTTCCAGTTCTTCTTCCTTTGTTTCTTCTTTCTCTGGTCTTTTATGTTTTTGTAAGTGGCAACCATTTTACTCTTTTGCTTCGACCAAAACCCCTGCAAGACACCTGAGTCACACTTTTTTCTCTCTTGCATCTTAACATTTAATAGCAAGTCCTTACTTTATCTTCAGATATTTGAAACAGTCACTTTGTACTTCTTCCACATGAATGTCCCCAAACCATTCTTATTTTTACAGTGACTGCCTTTGCTCAGGCCACCATCATCTCTTCCTGGAAAACTGTAGTGACTTTCTTTATAATTGTTCTCTTTACTTCAGCTCTCACCCCTACAGTTTATTATCAACACAGAAAGCAGCCTATTAAAAAGAGTGAGTCAGATTGAGACACTCCATTCTCAAAAAAAACTTCTCAGTAACTTACTATCTCACTCAAAAACTGGTCTTTCAAGACTTCTTCTAATCTGTAACGCTGTTTCTTACTGCTGTACCCCTTGCTTGCTTCCCTCCAGAGGCATTGGCCTCCTGTTCTAAGGACATGCTAGCTATTTCTGCCTTAGGACCTTTGTGCTTGCTGACATTTCTGTCTGGAAGGCTTTCCTTAAGTCTTGACTCAAATGTTGTTTCTTATAAGACTTCCCTGATACCTGATTTCAAAATTGTCCCCACCTTAGCATTTCCTATCCACTTTTCTTTATTTTTCGTTAAAGCACCTCCAGCATCTGACATATTTTATATTTTACCTTTTAATATCTGTTTCCCCCATTAGAGCATATATTCATAGAGGACAGGAATTTGTCTGTGTTTTACCTACTGCTGAAGTTCCAGTGCCATATAGTAGCTACTCAATTGGTATAAATTGAATACATACATTAATGAGGTAGATATTTTTAATATACCAAGATCAGATGACTGGCCAATGTGGGGGCAGGGGAATTAGGGTAAAAATCTTCTGAAAATCACTTTTCTAAAATTGAGTATGTATTCTTTATGTTTTCCTCAGTTTACAATTCTGATGTAATTGATAAACAGAGTGCTTCCATGACCTCTGATAATGCAGATGACAAAGCTGTTATTATTTTAGTTCCTGTTAGACTTGGTGGAGAAAGAACCAACACCGACTACCTAGAGTTTGTGAAGGTATGAAATAAGTACTCAATTTTCTTAAGTCAGTTCTAGCTGATATGAAAAATATAGGTGGCCTTTCTACTAAATGGGTAGTGATGATTTTACAGTTTACATTGTAAAGTTTGATATTAGAGATTTTAAGTCTCAATATTGCAAGATCAGATATGAGTGTGTGACTGTGTGAAAAATAGAGTGGTCTCTGACAAAATGAAAATCCTTTTAATATTTGTAGCTAATCATAGAGGCACAGATATGACAATAATCAAAATGTGAAAGTGGCTACAATTCCATTATCATGATTTTTTTAATACCTTTATTTTATTTTTTAGGTGGTACTGAGGATTGAACCCAGTGCCTCATATGTGCTAGGTTAGTTCTCTACCACTGAGCTACAACCCCAGCCCCTCCATTATCATGATTTTTAAAATATGTATCTTAGTTTATTCTTTTTTGGGAAGGGATATTGGGGATTGAACTCAGGAACACTCAACCACCGAGCCACATCCTCAGCCCTGTTTTGTATTTTATTTAGATCAGGTCTCACTGAGTTGCTTAGTGCCTCGCCATTCCTGAGACTGGCTTTGAACTTGAGATCCTGTCTCAGCCTTCTGGGCTGCTGTCACTGTGTTCCTATGCCCAGCTAGTTTATTCTTAAAACTAACAAATCAGTGGTACATACCTATAATCCCAGCTACATAGGAGGCTGAGTGAGGCAGGAGGATTCCAAGTTTGAGGCCAGCTTGGACAACTTTGTAAGACCCTGCCTCAAAATTAAATCAAAAGGGCTTGAGAGGGCTGGGATTGTGGCTCAATGGTAGAGCGCTTAGGTTCAAATCCTCAGAACCACATAAAAAATAAATAAAATACAGTAATTGTGTCCATTTATAACTTTAAAAATATATATATATATATATGGGGTGCTTAGGATGTAGCTCAAAGGTAGAGTGATTGTCTGGAGGGCAACAGGCCCTGGGTTCAGTCCCCAGTACTGCAAAAAAACAAAACAAAACAAAAAACCAAAACAAACCCAACAACAACAAACTAATATACTATTATCAAATTAATTATTGAAACAAAAACTGACTTTTCTGCCAGTACTCTGTTATAGTTTGTTTTCCTGTGCCATCATGAAGTCAGTGAGAAGTTAGATTATTTATATGGATAGAAAAATGAAGATAACATGGGAGCTTTCAAACATTGCTTTTTTCATATTAACCATTTAAAAATCTGTTATGTTTCAAAGTATGTATTTTGTTTCTTGTACCGAAAGTTAACATTATCTTGTTTTGGGCACCAAGACATTCTATTGTGATTAAATAACTCTTGAAATGTTTAGTTTCTGATTAAGATTATAGTCTTTATATTATTTTCATAGTTTCAATAAAATTCTCTATTTTTTAGGAGTCTATTTTCAAGGTCTGAGATGAAATTCTTCTTTGAATGGAGTGTTATGGGATATAGTAATGTTGAAATATAGTCATATAGTCTCTATCTGTCTTTTATGATTCAGTAATAATTTGTTCCTTACATGAAGCTAGTATTCCATATCATGGTCCATATTATAGGTGGATCATCTGTGCTCAGGCTAGACTGTGCCAGTTCAAAAAATCTGGAGCAGCTCCTTTCAATACTTGATACATGGAAGTCTTATAGCTGATACGTTGGATTTTATTTTTTTCTCCACATTTTTTATTAGTGTATTATAGTTGTACATAATGGTGGGATTTGTTGTTATATATTTGTACATGCACACAACATAGCAATATAATTTGGCCAATATCCCCCCCCCATAGCAGTACCCCCTTCATCTCCTCTTCCAGCCTCCTCCTGCTCCCTTTCCTCTGTTCTAATGATCTCCCTTAGATTTTCATGAGATCTCCCCCACCTTTCTTTTCCTTTTTCTTCTCTAGCTTTCATATATGACAGAAAGCATATGACCTTGATCTTTTGAGTTCTGCTTATTTTGCTTAACGTAATGGTCTCTAGTTTCATCCATTTTCCTGTAAATGACACAATTTTATTTTTCTTCATGGCTGAATAAAACTTCGTTGTGTATGTAAAGCACATTTTCTCTATCCGTTTATCTACTGATGGATACATAGGCTGGTTCCATAGTTTGGCTGTGAATTGTGCTGCTGTATACATGGGTATGAACATATTTCTATAGTATGCTGACTTTTATTCTTTAGGATAAATACCAGGAAATGGTATAGTTGGGTTATATGGTGATTCCATTCCTGGTCTTTTGAGAAATCTCCATACTGATTTCCATGGTGGTTGTATTAATTCACAATCCCATCAACAGTGTAAAAGTGTTCCTTTTTCTCCACATCCTCTCTAACATTTATTATTATTTGGAGTCTTGATGACTGCCATTCTTACTGGTGTAAAATGATTTGCATTTGCATTTTTTTAATTGCTAATGATGTTTAATATTTTCATATATTTGTTGGCCATTTGTATTTCTTCTTTTGAAAAGTGTCTGTTTAGTTCATTTATCCAGTTATTAAGGGGGACATTTGATTTTTGGTATTAAGTTTTTTGATTTCTTTATATGTTCTGGATATTAATCCTGTTTGGAGGGTAACTAGCAAAGATTCTCTCCCATTCTATAGGTTCTCTTCTCTTCACATTCTTTTTTTTTTTTTTTAGTTGTCAATGGACCTTTATTTTACTTATTTACATGTGGTGCTGAGAATTGAACCTAGTGCCTCACATATGCTAGGCAAACACTCTACCACTGAGCTACAACCCCAGCCCTCTCTTCACATTCTTGTTTCCTTTGCTGTGCAGAAGCTTTTTATTTTGATGCTATTCCATTTATTAACTCTTAGCATTATTTCCTGAGCTTTAGGAGTCCTATTGAGAAAATATTGCCTGTGCCTTTTTGCAGCCCTTCTAGGAGTTGTGCAGTTTCTGGTCTAAGCCCTAGGTCTTTGATCCGTTTTGAGTTGATTTTTGTGCAGGGTAAGACATAAAGATCTAGTCTCAGTGTGTGTGTGTGTTTATATATACACACACACATATACAGTTTTCTCAGCACCTTTTGTTAAAGAGGTTTTCTTTTCTCCAGTGTTTGCTTTTGGTACCTTTGTCAAGGATCTTTGACGATATCTGTATGGGTTTGTCTCTATGTCTTCTATTGTGGATTTTCTTAATAGTTACCAAAACTTTGGAGGCATACTTGTTATTGATAGTAACAATACTATATATGGAGAGAACAAAAGAATCCCCCAAATATAAGTGGGGTTTTGATGTCTGACATGGGCTCTTTAATAGATATTTGAAAAATGTCAAAAGTTCTGGACCACTTTACCTGGTAGGTCTTGTAGTTTTGAAACTTTTGGTTCTGGCATCTGACAAGGTCCTTCTTGCTGTGTCCTGTTGTAAAGACAGACAGACATGGAATGACATTTCAGAAGAGCAGGAGAGAAGGAATCCTTCAAGCCCTTTTTATAGCAGCATTAATCCATTCATGAGGGTGGAGACCTCACTACCTGAACAAAAGATCCCACATCTTTTTTTTTTTTTTTTTTTGGTTCACCTCTAGCTGAGTTCTAACCAAATTCTTTCTGTCTTCTCACTACTGTGAGAAGATTAGAGACTGATGAAATCTTGAAAGTGATTTATTTGGCCAAAGTCTGGTGGAGTGAGCTTCTGATGGCTTGCAACCAGATGTGAAGTCTTTGCTGCTTGCTGGTATTGATAGCATTTATCATGGCCACACTGCCTAATGTTCCCAAGTAATTCATGGGAGTCTGCATTTACAGTGAAACAAGCCACTTAGATTGTTGTTAAAAGTTTTCCTCAGTACCTAGCATATGGGAGTCACACAATCATTATTGTTAACTTTCATTTTTATAATACTTTCCAACTTCCAATATTAATTTATCTCATTTTACCCTCACAGTAGAAACTGGATTATTTTTATAAAATAGAAAAGATATAAAATAGTTAAGTTCAAGTTCAGATAACAAATTGGTAGCAGACCTTAGAATTTTCATTGTTTTTTTTTTTCAAATTTTCCCCTAAAATAATTTAAAAAAAGGTTTGAAACGTAACATTTCCTTGGACATTTGTTCATTTGATTTATACCATAATCCACTAAAATGAGAGAGCAGTGACTATTGAGACAATTAAAATTTTCAATTATTAGGTAAAAGTGTCTGAAATGGTTGAGTGAAGTAGATTATATGGTAGGTGTTATGCTTGGCCAGAGGGGGTGGTTGATCAAAAGCCAAAATGAGAGCATGTAAAGAGGTGTTCTCTTAGAAGTGAAAAGGTACTGTGTCTATAGCGCTAAAAGAAAGATAATCATCAACATTTCCTCCTGTTCTTCCTTCTCCTTCTCCTCCTTTTTTTGGTGGTCAGCAGTCATTTTTTTCCCTGACAAACCAATGTACGTTTAGTCTAAAATCCATTATTCAGTTCTATTTCTCATATTTATTAACCAAAGTAATTCTAGTATTTTCAGAGATGGTACCATCTTAAGCATCTGCTGCATTCTATGAAAAAGAAATTTGGTGTGTGTTCTGACAACCCCTAACTACAGGAGGTTTATTTATTTATTTATATATTCTTAAGGATTTGGAACGAGGAAAATCCAATAAGTTCTTTTTCTTCAATAAGACAAATTAGGACTTTCCTTTTTGACTGATTGCTTCATGGACACAGCTCAATAAATTCTAACTCTGTGTAACTACAGAGAATAAGCTCTTTTAGGAACTGAAAAGTGTTTCAAGTTTCTGAAGAGACAGCCTTTTACTTGTAATGGCATTCTAGTTCATAATCTTCTAAGTGTTTATTGCTAAATCTGCTCTAGTCTGTTGCAAAGAAAATGTAGATATCAAGAACCAAAGTCTTCTGATGCTTGGATCCATTCTTTTTTTTTTTTTTTTTGAGGAGAGTCAGTGCTGATTTTTGCTATATATTTCCTTTTTTTCTTTTCTGAGTTATGAAAGACTTAGAACTTTCATTTCCTAGGTTCCCAGGACATAAACACTCATTTCAGCTGATCAAATTGCCTCAAGTAAGGTACCTTACTTGTAGCAAAGATTTTTATTTGGGGGATGGGGAATAGAATAGAATCCTTAATGTTAAATAACTGCATTACTATTAAGTGTTTATCTTTTTTTTTGGTGTTCAATTTTGTTTTCTTACTTAGTGCAGGTTAGCTAAAATAAGCTGAGATTTTAATTGAATATACCTCTCCTGTTTCATTTAATTTTTTTCAGTTCTAGTTCTTTAAAAAAAAACTTTGATATTTTTATAAGATTGAAAATATATGATGTTGTTCTTTAGTGGGTGGTTTAGTTTGTTTTATGCTGCTGTAACAATACATGAGACTGGGTAATATATAAAGAACAGAAATCTATTCTCTCACAGTTCTGAAACCAGGGAAGTCTAGGATCAAGGTGCTGGCATCTGACAAGGGCCTTCTTGCTGTGTCCTGGCATGAAGACAGACAGACACATGGAATGACATGTCAGAAGAGCAGGAGGGAAAGAACCCTTCAAGCACTTTTTATAGCAGCATTAATCCATTCATGAGGGTGGAGACCTCACTACCTGAACAAAAGATCCTACCTCTCAACACTGCTGCACTGGGGAGCAAGTTTTGAACACATGAATTTTGGAAGGGACAAAAACATGCAAATCATAGCAGAAGGTTGTTTAAAACAATGAGAACTTGGAGCAACTTAAATATTCATAATGAGGGTTTTAAGCACATTTTGTTATTTCAAAATAGAATATTTTACAGTCATTAAATGTTTTAATACATATCTATTTTTACTAATACGAAAAGAGATTCATGATAAATGTGTTATCTTGTATGTTAAAAATGATGAGCACTGGGTATTCGAATTTAGCGTAATTTATACTTTTTTTCTATATGTCTGTGTTTTTTTTCCCCCAATGACCATTTATTATTATGATAATGATGGTGGTGGTAGTGATGGTGGTACTACTTGGGGTACCACTGAGCTACATCCCCAGTCCTTTTTATTTTTTAAGACAGTGTCTCACTGAGTTGCTGGGGCTGGCCTTGCATTTGTGATCCTCTTGCTTCAGCCTCCCAAGTCATTGGGATTACAGCTAAGTGCCATTGCACCCACCCAAAACAAAATGAAACCCACCCAACCAAAACGAAAATAATTAAATTAGAATTTTTGTCCATATATACAGATGCTCCTCAACTACAGTGTGATTACATCCCAATAAACCTAGTATAAGTTAAAAATGCATTTAATACTTCTAATGTAACAAACATCATAGCTTAGCAACACTATGGAACATTGTGCTAGATTTCAAGTTTAGAGTATCAGTTGTTCTCTCATGATCACCTGGCTGACTGGAAACTGTAGCTCACTACCACAGCCTAGCTCAATATTTGCTAGCCTGCAAAGAGGTTAAAATTCGTATTCTAAGTATTACTTATAATAGATATGTATAACTTTTACATCATTGTAGCTGAAAAATTTTAAGTCGGACTGTTTTTAGTTGAGAGCCATATATAAGAGAATTTTAGCTATTTAATATTTTGGAGTTTATAACATGTTTTATCATTATTAATGTTTTATAACATGTAGTTAATGCAAGAACTATTTTTAATTATCTTTTTTAGATACAAATGACAGTAGAATATATTTTGATATACATATATAGAGTATAACTTACTCTAATTAGGATTGCATTCTTGTGGTTGTACATGATTTGGAGTTTCACCGATTGTGTATTCATATCTGAACACAGAAAATTCATGTCTGATTCATTCTCCTGTCTTTCCTATTCCTACTCTTCTACCTTCTCTTTATTCCTCTTTGTCTAATCCAATGAACTTCTATCCCCTCCACCTTACTGTATGTTAGCATCCACATATCAGAGAGAATATTTGACCTTTGGTTTTTTTGGGATTGACTTATTTCACTTAGCATGACAGTCTCCAGTCCTGTCCATTTGCCTACAAATGCCATAATTTCTTTCTTCTTTATGGCTGAGTAATATTCCATTTGTGTGTGTGTGTGTGTGTATACAGCACATTTTAAAAAATTCATTCATCTGTTGAAGGGCACTTAGGTTGGTTCCATAGCATAGCTATGAATCTTGAATTGAGCTGCTATGTTCACAGTGATGTGGCTATGTCACTGTAGTAATTGCAAGAACTATTGATAAGATATTAATTGTTGCCTCTGGATATTTTTTAATTGACATCACTGGACATTTTTTAAAGGTATAGAGTTATTTTGCCTAGCTTAAAGAGTTTGCTTATAATAGAATATTTAATATACTGAGGGGCATATTAAATAACATATTGAGGTATGCCTGATATTTTTTGATTAGTAAAATAAATTGACTTTGGATACAATAATTATTTTCCTTAAGTTGTTTTCATTAATTAGTCTTTATGTTTATTCCAAATTAAACAGCACAAAAAAAATGTGTCAAGTAAGTGAATGATTTGATTAGAAAAATGGTTTTCAGTTTGGGATTTGAAAACTCAGAAGCTTAATGAAAACAATCATGAGTTCTAAGAACTAGGTTTAGCATTTCAAAAAGTCTGATGCAAATATTACATTGGTCACCATAATGCTGCCCCAGTAACTGGAAAGCTAAGTGTTGGGGCTTTGGCAGGAATTTTGTTGCTTTAATGGGGTAACATTATCTCTGTATCTGTCTCATAGTAGGAGTTTAATGTTGTTGAACAACATGCTGATCACAATATTTAATTTCTATTAATGTTGAGTGATTTAAAGAAAGGAGAAGGCAGTTTGGAAGAAGAGATTTCAGAACATGGGGCAAATGTAATAAAAGTGGTAACTAATTGGTGAAAAGTTTGGGAACTACTAGTATTGGTAAAACAAATTGAGTTGTTTTAAATAATTATCATTTGTCTCTTGACTAACTCTTGTTTTAATTTCTTTTGGCAGGGTGTTCTGAGCCTTGAATATTGTGTGGGTATTATTGGTGGCAAACCTAAACAGTCATATTACTTTGCTGGATTTCAAGGTTAGTGATTTTGTAAAATATATCTCTTCATTTTTTTTAAGTCAGAAAGTTAATATGAGATCAGCTGGAAACGGTATAATTAACAGAGCAAAAGGAGTACCTCATACATTCATCAGTCCTGCGGTAGCCACTCATCTGTCATTTGGCTCACAGTATAATTGGGTTCCGTAAAATGTATGCTTAATTTCTGTTATTGCATAAACAAGGCATAATTTATTGGTCTCACTGAACTTCAGAAGCCATAGCTGCCACGTTCTGGCAGTTGCTATTCACATATTTACTTTTTACCAGTCTTAGTAGTGCTAGTTGATGATAAAATGACAAGCAATATGTTCTTCCTGTCAGGACAGAGAAGTGCAATACATTTTTCATATGCAAACTGTAGAATATAATTGTGTGTTTGTGAAAGTAATTTTATCACCAAAAATTAAATGACAGTCTTATCACTTTATAAAAATTCTGCTTATACAAGCATATTTGATTATGCAAAAGTTAATCTATCCTATGCAAACCTATGTTTCAGTCAATGAATATCAGTCTGGCAAGCTGTTACTCCTAGAGTTTTTTTTCAGCTGTTCTACATAGAAATTGGATTGTAAGCAGTGTAATAATAAGGTGTTTTTTGAATTACTTGTCTTCTGTTTTGTCCTTGTAGATGACAGTTTGATTTACATGGATCCTCATTACTGCCAATCTTTTGTAGATGTCAGCATAAAGGATTTTCCTCTTGAGGTACTATACATCTAGAGATAGTATTGTTTTCTTATCATATGAAGCAAACTAATTATTTAGAAATGTACAAGATAGCTATGCTTTTATTATAACAGCAAGATAGCTATGCTGTATTACAATTACAAGTTAATTTTGCCTTCTTATAAAATTATTGTCAATACAGTGGTCAAAGGTTAAATGCTTCGTTGCTGAATTTTAATTTAAAATATACTTCCTTCTTCATTTATCTTTGTCTCTAACTTATTAGATACCCAGTCTTACTAAAATAAATGATCAAGCCTCTCAGTAATTTTGTAGAAAGACAGCTAAACTGTACTGAAGAATTTAAAATGTGTTAGGTATGTTTTGTAAAAAGAAGAAGAAAGGAAGTAAAAGAGAAGGTGAAAGACTTGAGGTAAAGTGACAAAAATAAGATTATCTACTAAATTATTTAATTATTATTTACTAGTCTTAAACCTTAACCTCTAGTTTAGGAGTTTTTAGGAGCTTAGATGGAATCTAATATTTGTTTTAGCTTGTATTTTGTACCTTTTTTCCTCTTAAATTGGTCATTTTATGATCCATGTTTTAATTGAGAAAATTTTGAGAGTTCTTAAGTGTTTTCCCAGTAAATAGTTTTACAGACTAAAATAATTTTTTTAGAATATGATAATTTTAATCAATTCAACAGCATGGGTCACATGAGGGCTTGGCAAGTTGGAAATGTGGTTAAGTTTTTTTGTTTTAGTAATAACTTTCTAGCTAATATTAATACTTACTAGTATTTAAGGGGTAGATTATGAAAATAAACTGCAAGATATAATCTGGTTTAGAAAGAAATATTATGATGTAATGTCACAGCCTTTGTAAATTATTTCCTCAACTAAAATATAAGCATCTTGAGGCCAGAGATCAGGTTTTCTTGTTTTTAATTGTTAGCAACTTTGCTAGTTAGTTGATTTAATTGAGGTGAGACACCACAGAATTGTGCTATATGAACTGTATCATTATTCTCTCTCTCTTTGCATTGTGGTCTTGAGGCACTGATTCTTATATCTAAGTTATATTTACATTTATCTGTTCCAAACTGATAGTAGATATTTGAGATTCAGATGGAAAATTGTTCATTGCATTTTAGTATTACTTAAAATAGGCAAATTAAAAGATTGTGGGTCTTGATAATTTTGGCCAATAGAGAGTGAGACACTATCTATCTAATATTTTGAGAGGTTCTGCAAAGGGACCAGGTTAGTGAATATACTGATTATGTCTAAGCAATTAAGATTAGAAAGGTTGCAGTTCATTATGGGGAGTCTGGCAACTGTCTAGGAGTGAGTCAGATTAATAAAAGCTTGAAGTAGGATAGTGGTAGTAAAAATTGAAAGAATTGATTTAAAGATTTTACTTTGATGAAATTAAGTACATTAAAGTCAGAAGAACTTATTCCTTATACACTGGAACACTAATATAGTTGATTTGATGTTATATTTTTGAGTTTCTGGAAGACTGTCTGAACCTGTATGAGTAATTCCTATTAAAAGTTTTTTACTTTTCTCCAGTGCACAGATTTATCTTAGATTGTATAATTAAAAGCATCATTTATTTTCCCACGAAAATATAAAAATCTTAGCAAGTTGTCTATCTGTGTCCAGGAATGAAATTATACTTTCTGCTTTTTGTCACATTTTAAGTTTACAATGTTCCAAGTAACTACCTATATTATTAAGTACCTTATATTTATTGCTAACCATCCTTGCTTTGGTCTGTTGGTTGTATGTGTATATGCTATTGAAATTTTGCAACTGATGTTATAAAGTTATAGTAGTAGAAGTAGTACTTTTCTAAGATTGAACCCAATGATGCTCTGCCACGGAGCTACATTCCCAGCCCTTTTCATTTTTTTTTTTTTTTTTTTGAGATAAGTTCTCACTAGATTGCTTAGCATCTCACTAAGTAGTTGAGACTGGCTTTGAACTTTGAACTTAAGATCCTCCTGTTTCTGCCTCCTGAGTTGATGAGATTACAGGTGTGTGCCACCTTGCCTGGCTTCATACTTCAGTTATTAAAATCATTTTTGTGGGCAACATTTTTTAAAATCAATACTTCTTGTGTTCAATAGATGAAGAGATTCCTTTTTTGATATTCTCTCCAATTCCATGTAATAATTGCTTATAGTCCTGGTGTTTTAAATGAGTGCCCTAAATTCAGTAATATTGTGAAAATTTCAGTAGAATGGTAACAGAATATAAGATTGAAAAAGATATTTAAATAGATTATACCTTTTGTTATTATTCTTACGGTATTGAATTCCTACATTTCTAGAGTTGAACTTTTAATCATTTTTTAAAATATTTTATTTACATTTTAGTTTTCGGCAGACACAACATCTTTGTTTGTATATGGTGCTGAGGATCGAACCCGGGCCTCACCCATGCCAGGGGAGCGCGCTACCGCTTAAGCCACATCCCCAGCCCCCTGAACTTTTAATCATTTGAAACCACATAAGATAACTCATTTCTTTCTGTTTTACTTATCATTTGTTGAACTCTTTCTGGGTGTGAAGCACTGTCCTGAGTTCTTCAAAATTTTCTGTGGACTCTCTTCTTCTGTATAACTCCAAATGCTTTGATTATATATATTTCTACTAAATTTTTAATTCTTGAAATGCAGCCTTATAGAATATATTAGTATATACTATTGAGTTAATATATACTTTAGAACTTCTATACTACCTGTTAAGAAACTCTTCCTTGAGTATCTTCAAAATACATGGAGGTCTTGTTTAGATTCTGAGCCCAGTAGGGAGGATATGGCAGAGATATTCTTGGTCAGCACTGAGGAATGGGACACACAGTTCAGTGTGAGGGTACATTTTAATATGTAAACTCACACTCTATAATTTTTATACAGATAATGGAGTTCATAAAAGCATTAACAACCTTAAAAAAAGTCATGAAAGGATAACTTGAAATTATAGAAGAGTGGGAAGAAGTCAGATGGGCTTTAGCAGTGAGGGTAGTTGAATTGTGGATTTCCATTGTCAGTGGTTTGGATAGGGTGGAGTTTCAGTTGTTGGGGTGGAAGGACTAGTGGATGGATATATATATATATATATATATATATATATATATATATATATATATATATATATGAATGATGTGTATGTGTGCATCAATGTATTTACATATACTCATACAGTATATTTATCATATAACTACTATGTATGTAGATGCATTTATATATAATATATATTTATAAATAGATACATATATAAATATATAAATGTAACACATTTATATATACGTATATGTGTATATACATATGCATATGTGTGTGTGTATAAAATCAATGAATTAACTTTTGTAAACAGGGAATATTGGTTCATATTTTCTTTTTTTTAATATTTATATTTTAGTTGTAGGTGGACACAATATCTTTATTTCATTTTTATGTGATGCTGAGGATTGAACCCAGTGCCTCATGTGTACTAGATGGGCATGCTACCACTGAGCCACAACCCTAGCCCCTGGTTTATATTTTCTTATGTATATTTTTAGTTGTATATGGACACAATATCTTTATTGGTAACAGAATATAAGATTGAAAAAGATATTTAAATAGATTATATCCTTTGTTATTATTCTTAACAGTATTTATTTTTATGTGGTGCTGGGGATCAAACCCAATGCCTCACACTTGCTAGGCAAGCACTCTACCACTGAGCCACAACCACAGCCTGGTTCATATTTTTAATGCATGTTTTCAGAATGACAATTTCTAATTCTTACAAATAACTGAAGTTTTCTTACCTTGTTTAAAAAGTAAGAAAAGCCCTATTAATAGATATGCTACGCTGTTCTGATTCCTGGGTCCTCAATTCCAAGTACCAGATTTTAGGAGGTTCATATGGTGGTGACTGTTTTAATCTTTCTAGTAATCTTAGAAATAGTGGCATGAAAGTCACTAGGTAGATGAATAAGTGAATTTGTCAGTGAAGATATATACTGTAAGCCACACATGGGAATTGCAGTTGGTAGAAGTTACTTTTTTAGTAAGGGTGTTCTCAGACTACCTTAAAAAGCTTCATCTAAATTTCCAAAATAGCATTCTTATACCTAAAAGTATTCATTTTAATATTATTTATATGTTTAGGTAATAAAATCTACAATTCCAAATAATAAACTTACAACTGCTTGGCATTTAAGTAGGTGCCTAGTAACTATTTTTTGAGGCAATGAATAGTGTGTTAAAAAACAAAATAAATGGGAATTGACTCTTCCTGACCATTTTTCCCCCCAGAAATGCATTGTATTATCATGAAAGCATAAGTAATGAACATTCCCTAAAATGTGTTTGTGAGACAGAAGCAGCTGTTCTTATCAAACCTCATAATAAAAAGAATTAAATCATAAGTGCATAGCTTAAAGAATTACCACAAAGTGAACATAGCCTTGTATGCCACTTAGGAAAATACTTTGAAATTCTATCCTTTATTTTTTGCAATTAACAAAAATGGTTCTGAATTATAAATTAATATTGGTTTGGCTTCATAATCTTGGGTAAACAGAACAATATAATTTTAAGTGACATAAAATGCCTCTCTGTAATAAGTCCTAAAACTCATGTAGTTACATCCAGTAGTAATTTCAGTTTTCAGATTTATGTCTGTGCTTTTAATAATTTTAAAAAGTTTTTTGTAGGTATCAAAGTAACCATAGATAATAATTTAGTGTTTTTTGTCATAATTATCTATTATGATTGAAATAATACAGTAAAATATAAGTGAGCTTATTTTAGTTAGTGTTACTGGTTCCTACATGAAAACTTATTGGTGCTTTAGTATAGAACAGCCTAATAGATGAATTAAAAAACATATTGTTGAACCTTGTATACCCTTTTTGGGCAAACTAAAGAAACATTCCTAGTTGCTGGCTTTGCAATCAGCTTGGCAAATGGCTATTTTTTTTTTTTATTGTTGGTTGTTCAAAACATTACATAGTTCTTGATATATCATCTTTCACACTTTGCTTCAAGTGGGTTATGAACTCCCATTTTTAGCCCATATACAGATTGCAGAATCACATCAATTACACATCCATTGATTTACATATTGCCATACTAGTGACTGTCGTGTTCTGCTACCTTTCCTATCCTCTACTATCCCCCCTCCCCTCCCCTCCCCTCCCCTCCCCTCTTCTCTCTCTACCCCCTCTACTGACCTTCATTTCTCCCCCCTGTATTATTTTTCCCTTTCCCCTCCTTTCCTCTTGTATGTTCTTTTGTATAACCCTGAGGGTCTCCTTCCATTTCCATGCAATTTTCCTTTTCTCTCCCTTTCCCTCCCACCTCTCATCTCTGTTTAATGTTAATCTTCTTCTCATGTTCTTCGTCCCTACTCTGTTCTTAGTTACTCTCCTTATATCAAAGAAGACATTTGGCATTTGTTTTTTAGGGATTGGCTAGCTTCACTTAGCATAATCTGCTCTAGTGCCATCCATTTCCCTGCAAATTCTATGATTTTGTCATTTTTTAATGCAGAGTAATACTCCATTGTGTATAAATGCCACATTTTTTTAATCCATTCGTCTATTGAAGGGCATCTGGGTTGGTTCCACAGTCTTGCTATTGCAAATGGCTATTTTTAGACATGTTGTATGTAGAATGATATCTTGTGAGTATGATTTAGAAATGTGTCTTATATCCTAATATAGTCCTGTGATTTGTTAAGTAACAGGCTTACTTAGCTTTTTTGTGCCTTTCCAGATCTGTTTTAAATATCTATTTATAAATAAAATGAGTGAAATATTAAGAATAGTCCAATAAGATAATACTTGTGTTGACTTGTACCCTGGAGGTTCTAGTTTAGGTAGGTTGGATCTCACTATGTAAAGTAAGTGTTAGCTAAGCATTTTGTTGAAGTCAGAGTTTTGAAAAACTAATTTCATCTATATTTACTGATGTATTTATTGTTGGATTTGAATCGAATATACATTTGAACTATTTTTAAGGGAAAAATCAATCAAATGTATGCATTTTGTATCTTCGATGGTGCTAATATGTCACAGTAATTGGATGACTAGGATGTAGGGAGACAGAAAAGTGTAATTTTGATTTACTATGAATATAACAAATGAGATAGCCTATACTTTTATACATTTTAATAGATAGTTTCAAGTTAAAATCCCTTAGTTTTAAGGCATTGAATGTAGGGAAATATTAAGTTTATGAGTTCAAATCCAGCTGAGATTATTTCCTAATTTAAAAATATAAAATACACAGTGGAGAATTTCCTACATTTGTCTTCCATCTGTAGTTCCTTAAACTTGTTAAATTTTTGTATGACCTATAGAGTCCATGCAAATATCAACAAATATTAATATATATAGTATTATATCCTTCTAATTTTACATGGACTTTAAAAAAATACTTAACAGAAAAGCACTTGGAAGCATGGTTTTTAAGAATGAGATACCCAGGGCTGGGGATGTGGCTCAAGTGGTAGCACGCTCGTCTGGCATGCGTGCGACCCGGGTTCAATCATCAGCACCACATACCAACAAAGATGTTGTGTCTGCCAATAACTAAAAAAATAAATAAATAAATATGTTTTAAAAAAAAAGAATGAGATACCCAAGCATTCATATATTAATTTATATATATATGTGTGTGTATATATATCTGTATATAATGAAAAAAATATATATATATATAATATTTTAAACATAGTACCAAAAGTATGGTGGTGAAGAACAAAAAGATTGCAATGATTAGCTCTATATTCAGCCCTTTTCCTACTATTGTATTCCTTAAAGATATTAAACCCCATAAATAAACAAATCCCATTAGTGAGAGGAGAGAAACAAGGGCAGCCTCCCCAACCTGTTTACAACTGTGGTACTGAGACAACTTGAGAGAAGCAAACTAAGACAGACAAGAGGACTGGTGAAAAAGAGGGCAAGGAACATAACAAGGCAGTTTTCACAAGAGCAAATTGAAGAATATGCAGTTATGTACTATGTCCATTGGTAAAACTCTCAAGTTGTTTTCTTTTCATATCAGTACAAGCTTTACATCAGTCTGCTTTTTATTTGCTTTAAAAGCCTGGATATTAAAAGGTTTGTAAGCATTAAACAAGGAATCTCTTACTAGACAGACTTAAGTTCAACTTCATAGAAATGGCTAACTGGATTCTAAACCTTGTACTAGCCCCTGATGTCACTCAGTGGCGCCATTTTTCTTCCCTTCTCCAAGTGTTAGAAAAGCATACCACCTTCTACACACTTCCTTTCTTTTGTATAATAATACTAATGTCACATAAGGTGTAGATTTGGTGAATTACATATATACCATGTTGGCTCGTGTTTTACACTTTTGGGGAGTGGGAAAGACTAAAATACCATTTGAAAAAATGTGTTTATAGTTTTGAGAAAAAACTAGATAACGAAGCTTAACTAGCATTCTTGTATATACTTAAGTTCATCAAGTAAATATAAATTAATCCTAAAAAAGTTTTAAAATTACAGACATTCCACTGCCCTTCTCCCAAAAAGATGTCGTTTCGAAAAATGGATCCTAGCTGTACAATAGGATTTTACTGTCGAAATGTTAAGGACTTCGAACGAGCTTCTGAAGAAATAACTAAGGTACCTGCATTTAAAATATAATAACATTTATAAATGACTTGATTTTTATTAGAGACAGTCTGTTAGAAGACAGGAATCTTTAAATTATGATATTTTGTAAAACTTTAACCTTTAATGTTAATATTATTAAGAGTATTGTGAATCAGAAAATAAAACTATGTGAGGAGTCTGTGACCAGGTCAAAGTATTGATTGTTCCACTAGGTGGCACTGTTGAAATAAAAATCCTGCAAATTGTAGAAATGGGCAAGCAATTGGGTTATATTCTATTTGAAGAGGATTTAAAAGGGCAATCCCTTAGGGGCAGAAAAAAATTAATGAAGTATTTGATCAAGCCAAATTGTGCATTATTTCTTGTTAGTCCAAGTGCTTCTTTTATTTTTTTAAAGAGAAATGGTATTTTTGGATTCCTCAGAACTGCTTTATCAAATGAGCTGTGTTGTTACCTTCCAATAGCTTGTCTAATCTGATTTATTCTACTTGCTGAGTCTTTGAAACAGGTTTATTTAACTTTTTTCTCATTACCTTTAAACTTCTGCATGTTTTTGGTGTTTGAGTACTGTTAAAACACGTAGAGAGCTTTAATCCATGTCTATATTTCCTACTAGAACATAAAAAGATTATTTATTTAAGAAGTAAGTGTAACTGGACAGGTCTCTTTATTAGCACCAGTAGTTATAGATTATCCTTTTATCTTATGTAAAGCCAGTACTAGAAGCATTTTTAGTAATTCTTAACTTGGGCTCAGATATAGTAGTAATTTATTACTCTTTTACTTACAGTTAATTTTATTTGGAAAAATGGACATAATAGGTTGAAATTTTATTTTCACAATATAAAAATAGAATAATAATAAGTTGAAGTTTTATTTTCAAAATATAAAAATGGAATAAAAAGGTTAAGTAAAGAATCTTTTTAAAGATAGGTTTAGTTTGCTTGACCTGCCATGTGAAAAAGGAAATTTAACAGGAATATGACAAAAATAAATGAGGAGAGGAGAAAATTAGATATGGGAGAACTTTTCCCTATTATTAATTTCTCACAGTTGTTGTCTTTTTATTCTTCCTTTCAACATGAAGGCCTCGGTGAACAGAACAAAATATATATTTTCCATTTCCTTCTCCTTTATTACTTGAAATTGGTGTTTACACTTGTATATTTTAGTCTGATAGTTCTTTGTCTTTGTAAAGTGTCACAAATCCAGATGATATTGTGATGTACATTAATGTTGATGAACATTTCCATTAAAAAGTCCCATTTCTCTATTTTCATGAATTTATTTTCTATTTACAATAAGATAAATGTGTTTAAAATAACAGAGCAGGCTACTCCTGGAATAGAAGCAAATCAAATTATTATGACCAAATTCTTAAAAATTTACAAGTGAGTTGTATATTGATCTATTCTAATTAATATCAGATAGTTATTATAGTTTTTACACTGGAAAAATTATAAATTATTATTCTTGATGCATCAAAGTAATATGCACTATTAAGGCAAAGAGTAACAATGTTGAAATGTCTTTTGAAAGCACTGAGAATTTTGTAAGAATCAATGAACTTTGCTGTTCTATAAGAACTTTTTTAGCAATATCCAGGACTCACTTTGTCAATTAATAATTCGGTCATTTACTTTTGCTTGGGTAGTTGTAAGTTGTTTTTCTTTTTTTCTAAAAACTGAATTTGCCATTTTCAGTTTTTATTTTCTTCTCTTGAAAATTAAAACAATTTAAAAAATACTTGTTTCTTTTTTTGTTTTAATTAGTTACACATGACAGTACAATGATCTTGACATATCATACATTTGAATCAGATGGGATATAATTTCTCATTTTTCTGAGTGTACAAGTTGAAGAATTACATTGGTCATGCAGTCACGTATATACCCACAGCAGTAATAAAAATACTTGTTTCTATGTAGGATGTATTTTCAGTTTTCTCACTTTGAAAATGAAGCTAGGTAGTCCAGAGTCTCATGTTTAATTTGTAATGCCCAATAAATGAATATTCTAATAATTCTTTATGTTGTGTAATATTTAAAGTATTAACATAAAATTGTTAAACAAATTCAATGTTTAACAGAGTTCAGTCCATCAAGTATCTGATTAACTATTATATAAAATGACCAAGATATTATCCTCACTTTTGAACAAGATATAAGACTTCTGCCCTCAAGTAACATTTATACTTGAGGAGGGGGAATAAGACAAGTACACATATATTACAGTGAAATGATAAGCATCCGTATGGAAGTAGAAATGAATTAATGGGGGAAGGAAGAGTGTTGAAATGAGAAAGATGTCACATTCAAATTAAAAGTACTTTATTGTGATGGTGATATTTAAAATGAACCTTAAAGTATAGGTTTAATTTTCATTGGCTTGGTGAGAGGGAGGGAGTACTTCAAGCTGAGATACTAATAAAAGTAAAGATACAGGAAAAGAGTGTAAAGTTTATCTAAACAATGGTGAATAATCCACTTTGTTAGTTGTCAAGTATATAAAAGGGGCAGAATTTCTTCTCACTACCTGAATCAGACCCCTATGTGTGGCCTGGGAGCCTCCATTTCTATCTAGCAAGCCTCCCAAGTATTCTTATATATTAAATTTGAGAACCACTGTGTAAGACAGAACAACCTGAAGTGTGACACTTTGATGTTCTTTTTAGGTGGCACTAGGACAAACATTTTAATACTTATGTATTTATAGTGATATTAGAAAATGTATCTTACATATTAAACATGATTTTTCCTGGTTTTACAAGGCTATTTGAATTATATATGATGAAAAGAAAATATTCATTAATCATACTAGAGATGACACATGTAGTAAAAATAGTAAAGACAATATGTAAACATCCAAGGTTTAGGAAACATTGCTATGGAAATAGGGAAGGATGAAGTTAAGAAAAGTATGTTGAAATAATATTGTGAAGAAGTGTGAATGCCAGGCTAAAGAATTCTTTAATAATTAAATCTTTTCCCAGTCTTATTCTCTTTTTTTTCTTCATAGTGGTAACTACTATCCTGAGTTAGTTTATCATATGCATACTTTATATATATTATAAACAGCACATCTTTGCATGTTATTAAACTTTTCACCAGTGATATTTTTATATAAAAAGATAAAGCTGGGCATAGTGGTGCACACCTGTAATCCCAGCAGCTCGGGAAGCTGAGGCAGGAGGATCATGAGTTCAAAGCCAACCTCAGCAACTTAGTGAGGCACTTAGCAACTCATTGAGACCCTGTCTCTAAATAAAATATTTAAATGGGACTTACTTAAACTAAAAAGTTTTTTCTCAGCAAGAGAAACAATAAGAGAGGTAAATAGGGAGCCTACATCCTGGGAACAAATTTTTACTCCTCACACTTCAGATAGAGCCCTAATATCCAGAATATACAAAGAACTCAAAAAATTAAACAGTAAGGTAACAAATAACCCAATCAACAAATGGGCCAAGGACCTGAACAGACACTTCTCAGAGGAGGACATACAATCAATCAACAAATACATGAAAAAATGCTCACCATCTCTAGCAGTCAGAGAAATGCAAATCAAAACCACCCTAAGATACCATCTCACTCCAGTAAGATTGGCAGCCATTATGAAGTCAAACAACAATAAGTGCTGGCGAGGATGTGGGGAAAAGGGTACACTTGTACATTGCTGGTGGGACTGCAAATTGGTGCAGCCAATTTGGAAAGCAGTATGGAGATTCCTGGGAAAGCTGGGAATGGAACCACTATTTGACCCAGCTATCGCCCTTCTCAGACTATTCCCTGAGGACCTTAAAAGAGCGTACTATAGGGATACTGCCATATCAATGATCATAGCAGCACAATTCACAATAGCTAGACTGTGGAACCAACCTAGATGCCCTTCAGTAGATGAATGGATAAAAAAAAATGTGGCATTTATACACAATGGAGTATTACGCAGCACTAAAAAATGACAAAATCATGGAATTTGTAGGGAAATGGATGGCATTAGAGCAGATTATGCTAAGTGAAGCTAGCCAATCCTTAAGAAACAAATGCCAAATGTCTTCTTTGATATAAGGAGAGCAACTAAGAACACAGCAGGGAGGAAGAGCATGAGGAAAAGATTAACATTAAACAGAGACGAGTGGTGGGAGGGAAAGGGAGAGAGAAGGGAAAATGTATGGAAATGGAAGGAGACCCTCAATGTTACACAAAATTACATGTAAGAGGTTGTGAGGGGAAAGGGGGGGGGAAAACAAGGGAGAGAATTGAACAACAGCAGATGAGGTAGAGAGGGAAGATGGGAGGGGAGGGGAGGGGGATAGTAGGGGATAGGAAAGGTAGCAGAATACAACAGTCACTAATATGGCATTATGTACAAATGTGAATGTGTAACCGATGTGATTCTGCAATTTGTATTTGGGGTAAAAATAGGAGTTCATAACCCACTTGAATCAAATGTATGAAAGATGATATGTCATGAGCTTTGTAATGTTTTGAACAACCAATAAAAAAAAAAGGGCGGGGATTTGGCTCAGTGGTTAAACACCCCAGTTTAAACCCTGGTACCAAAAAAAGAAAAAAAAAAGATATATATCTTTCTATAACTTTTTCACTTAACAGTGACTTACAGATTGTTGATATCTATACATTTTGGCCTATCTTGCACTGTTGAATAGTGGTCAATTCTACAATGTACTATTTAAACTTTCTTTTGTTGATGGTCACCTAGCTTGTTTCCCAGAAGCAAAAATGACTTATTTAATTTTTAAATTACAAATAATATTTTAAAGAATATTCATGCACATGCATATCTAACATTTTAACTAGGATTACATTAGATACACATTAGATACATTAGAAAGACATTGCTAGATATGTGTTTTTTTGGGGTTTGCTAGATATTGTCAGATACTCTCCAAAGTGATCATCAGAAGCACTGCTGAGAATTTTCAGTGCTTCACACCCTTACCAACACTTGATATTGTCAGACTTTAAAGAGTTTAACCAATCTCATGG